CTGAAGCATAGGGACCTGCAGACGGGAGTTAGTCGACGCGTAGTGTAGTAAATAAGACATTTCAATTCACCTGAGCGAACAAAAATCACTCCATTCCAGAGGGTCGGGTCTCCGGGCGCGAGGCTCACATAAACCCCTGGTGGTGCTGCACGTCTCAAGCTCGCGCTGCGGTGGAGTCAGTATACAGAGGGGTCTGTGTGGAGTAAAGAGGCTCACAATTCCAGGTGGAGCTGCTGCTTTCGAAGTGAAGGTATGCAGGGCAACTTGGAGGTCGACATGTCTACTTTAGCAGAGGAAAGTTGGGAAGATCCGGGGGTTGACGACAGCTTATCGATTGCTTATCGCCGATCGACATCGGATCTCAACCATTCAATGGCATAGTTCCAATTCTATACTTGAGTCAAGACTTTGAGGGTTCTTATCAAATTCAAGGATGCGCTATGTGTTTCTTTGGTGCTTAATATCCATGCCGCCAAGCTTACGGGAACACATACAGCCCTACCCGCAGACCTTCTGACAGCTCCTACCTCCCGAGGTCTAGGCATTGCACTGACTATAGGCAAAGAAGACTTTCTTGCTAAGAGGTCATTATCTTCGCAACATAAAACATCATCCCAGAGTTCATCTCAAGGCCATTCACCGAATAAGAAGAAAGCTAGCTCAATATTATAAGTCAAGTCCGTGAGGAAGGTTAGTGACGGTTCTAGCTGCCCCACGAACAGCGTCTATATCTAGATTAAAGAAAGTGAAGGGGTTTGTTTGCTAGCACCTCAAGGTCCTGTACGGAGTACGGAGTATACAACATACATAGACCTCGGGAATATATTCGAGTGGCTTCGGCTGGGGCTCCCGCTGCCCTTGGTCCGATGTAGACTAGTGTGCACTAATATGTATAAACCTCATCTCTTAGAACTCGATGTTTCGTCTTGATCGCTTCTAGCGCATGTCCTTTTATGCCTTTTATGCCAGTTGATCTCCAAGAAATAGTCAGTTTCTAATAATCCAATTTAGGGAATTTACTCCGTAGAAGCGAGATTCCGAGGTTAGAGATCTTATCTAAGGTGGCAAAGTGTGAGAGGCTCCAGGGGAACTAAAGAATTAAACATTTGAAAGTAAAAATTAACGTTGTGTTTTTTTCAAAAAGGGGGAGTGGGGCCCCAACAAAACCCCATGGGTCCCAACAAGCGGGTAGTGGCATTTTTATATTTTCTATATTTTCTATATGTATTTTATGTTTTGTTCTAATTTTTTAAGTTACCCCTGTGTTGTAAAATAGTTGATTGTATTTATAGATTGTTCCAAGTCAAGTTAATTTTCACGTCAAGTCAAGTGTGAATATGTACGCTGTAAACAAATAATGTTGGGGCGATTTGAGTGCCGCATGCCACCGAATTACGTCCGGAAAGCCAAGCTGAAAAAAAAAGTGGAATCACATGTCCCTTGCGCATACCAGTGCCGAGTCATCTCCAGCCCTAGCTTACATGCTGACTTACAGAAGAAGAAAGTATTTGCATCTGCCCGAGGGCAGATGCAAATCTCCAATTGCGTAAAGACAAAAAGCAAAATGAATTTGCCACACGATCTTGCATATTGGATTTGGTGGGACAATTCCAGACCAACCCACGGCTGTCTACTCCGTACTCCGTACTCCATATGGAATATACAGTACGAAAATGATCCGCCGAGGTAAGTTGATCACTTCGATCTATGTACCCACACGCTGGCCTTCACCGTATTCCCAGCATGTGAAAGTGGCATTGCAATCACAGCACCAGATAAGGTCTAGATCGCATCACATAGATAATCAGACCACTCGTACCAAAATTGTAAAATTGTTGGGGCGAAAGGAACTAGTCGATAAGACGGCTGTGAAGAACTCGGGTAGAGCGCATACAACATACAGCATACTCCGTACACATTGTAGAAGTATGAGATGGGCACATGAGATGGGCTATGACTATGTTGTATCGAGGAAAGATCAGCCCTATTCTGACTATTCCGGACAGTTCATGCGAGAATTTGATGGCGAAGGGGGTGGATCTGTAAATTTGCAAAACACTATACGGTTGGATTGGACTATAGGGATAGTGGCGGTATGAAAATTACCACCTCAGGGTCCCATGGTTGAATCCCCGGGGTTTTTTGTTATTTCAATTTTCCCCTTCAGTTTTTTTGGGTTTCATTTTGAGGGCTGTTTCCTTTCTCTTTCTTTCTTTTTGTTAATTGCCTGCTTTCTTGTTGGCTCTTCTTTAGAACGGGGACATCTCCAGGGCTTCAACCTTCCTTGTGCAACACAACCCCAAAAAAACTCAAAATATTGTGAGTACTAGATGACAGCTCGGAGAATCTCAAACTAATCTTATCACAGATTCTTGCGTCCTTCGTTTCAGTTCTATAGAAAGGGATATTTTAGTATACCCACCGTCACTTCGGAGTTGAACATCAACCTTGACACCCAACATGTCGTCTACCGCAATCCCCAAGCGCGTTGCGCTCAATCGCAATCCGGCTACAGAGTCCTCAACGGTCAGCTCTGTCTCGCCCTCGCCCTTTGACAGCCCTCGCCAGTCCCCCTCTTCTACCTCCCTTTCCTCGATGGGTTCGGAGCAGGAGGCCAGCAAGATGCTCGATACCTATGGCAACGAGTTCAAGATCCCAGATTATACGATCAAGCAGATCCGCGATGCCATCCCCGCTCACTGCTTCCACCGCTCCGCCGTCACCAGTTTGTACTATGTCTTCCGGGACCTGGCCATGCTGGGATCCGTCTTCTACCTCTTCCACAACTATGTCACCCCCGAGACCGTCCCCTTGCTGCCGGCCCGTGTGGCCCTCTGGACTTTGTACACCATCGTGCAGGGTCTCGTCGGCACCGGTTTGTGGGTTCTGGCCCACGAGTGCGGTCACCAGGCCTTCTCCCCCTCCAAGGTCCTGAACGACACCGTTGGCTGGATCTGCCACTCCCTTCTGCTCGTCCCTTACTTCTCTTGGAAGATCTCTCACGGCAAGCACCACAAGGCCACCGGAAATCTGGCCCGCGACATGGTCTTCGTTCCCAAGACCCGTGAGCAGTACGCCACCCGCGTCGGCAAGGCCCTACACGAACTCGGCGAGCTGTGTGAGGAGACCCCCATCCTGACCGCCGGCCACCTTTTGGCCCAGCAGCTCTTTGGCTGGCCTATGTATCTGCTCAACAACGTTACCGGTCACAACAACCACTCCAAGCAGCCCGAGGGCCGCGGTAAGGGCAAGCAGAACGGCTGGGGTGGCGGTGTTAACCACTTCAACCCCTCCAGCCCTCTGTACGAGGCCAAGGACGCTAAGCTCATTGTCCTGAGTGATATCGGTCTCCTCCTCACTGGCACCGCCCTGTACTACATCGGTGCCAACTTCGGCTGGTTGAATCTGCTGGTCTGGTACGGTCTCCCGTACCTGTGGGTGAACCACTGGCTCGGTAAGTTTTCAGACAAAAGAAAAACATCAGTTCGGTTCACTTTTGCTAACAATATCCATCGCAGTCGCCATTACCTTCCTTCAGCACACCGACCCCACCCTCCCTCACTACCAGCCCGAAGTGTGGAACTTCGCCCGTGGCGCTGCCGCCACCATCGACCGCGACTTCGGCTTCGTCGGCCGCCACATCTTCCACGGTATCATTGAGACCCACGTGCTGCACCACTACGTCAGCAACATCCCCTTCTACAACGCCGACGAGGCCAGCGATGCCATCAAGGGCGTCATGGGCAATCACTACCGCACTGAGGCTCACACCGGCTGGACTGGTTTCTTCAAGGCCATGTGGACCTCTGCCCGTGTCTGCCACTTTGTTGAGCCCACTGAGGGTGCCACTGGCGAGAGCCAAGGTGTTCTGTTCTTCCGCAACACCAACGGCATCGGTATTCCTCCTGCCAAGATGGCCGCCAAGGCTCAGTAGATCCTGACTCATTGGTGCTGATTCTGGTTTCGGTTCTGATCATGTTTTCTTTTTTTTTTTCCTCTCACATTATTCTGGTTCGATTTGAGCTTTGATGTCTTGTCTTGTTCACTTTGCGTGCATATCCATGGATGTATACACAAGGTCAACATGATTTTCTCGAGGAGATTGGGTGGCGATCATAGATGAAATCTGTTGTTTTTCTTGTTCTCGTCTTTGACGCTCAAGCTCTTTTCTCATGGCTGTTCATATCGTTGAATCCTTAGATCCATCATCTTGTTTCTTCGGTGAGGGGTTGAGATCATGTCGGCAGGAGGTAGTGGGGGGGAGAAGAAAGAAAAGAACCTGATGAAAATGGGGAAAGAGATGATTGTGATTTTAGAGAAATATGTTTTGTCATCGCTGTCCGTATATATGATTATGGTTAATTTGAAGCGTGTTCTTTTCGTCTATCTCTTCCTTAACTGCTTGCACGTGTACAATTCTAGACCAAATGATCAATAGGTGTAATCTTCAGCTCCCAACTCTGTTCTTCGAGATATTAGAGATGTCTCCAAGCATTTCCGAATCAAGTTGAGAAAAATGTAACATACACACGCAAGACATACCTGGTTTAAATATGTAGTAGCAGCATCAGCCAAGGCCACCAACTCCAAGTCTATAGCCCTAAATGGACCCATACTCAGCAGCTTTAAGTCCCACGAATTCATTTACTTGCCCTTCGTTCAACCTCTTCAATCGTTGTAGACCACACACCTCAAGTTGTAAACTTCCAATATTCACAAGATCAGCACTTCACACATAGACGGTGTCTATTAGTATTTAGAATATGTTGTACATTGTCTTTGCTCGGATGTCTGTTTATAATTTTCGGACATTTATATTATACAATAATGGTTATAGAAAAGATATCGCTGGTGGGTATATCAGTTCAGTTGCTGTTCTAGTCTGAGATGAACATGCCAACATAGTATGTCAAATTATTTAGATCACATTCGAGACTTTCCAAGATGTACTATATCTTTGGTAGGCAAGAATGAAAATTGGTTATATGACATTAGACGAATCAGTCACCATGACTCACACTTCTCAAGCCACCTTTCCAGATTTCAAACTCTACCTCACCACTTCTTCTACTTGGTTGGCCGTTCCTCGGTGTATCCTTGGGACCTGCCGTCCACGGCGAGAACACCAGTTTCATGGTCCTCCGTATGGTAGATTCAGGACCCGGAATGGGCTGGTGGTTCTGTGAGTCAGAGACTCTCTTCTTGAGAGAGGGGGCGGGCATTGCTATTGAATCCGGATCTCGATAGGTGTTGACATTTCCTCCGTTTTGGGACTGCGATGTTTCCTGTGTGGACGCCATATATGCATCATCGTCCACGGAAACACCTACAGCGTGGGATTCTTTCTTTTTCAATGCGATTCGACAGGCGATCTGCGTTGACCAGACGAATCCCAGGGCAGGGTTCTTCAGAGATCCGCTCTCTGGGTACGCGCCATCCCCCCAGCCAGAGTAGAAGCGCTCCTGGTGATCCACGTTCAACATGCTATTGCGTACTCGAGGGGCAATCAGGTACGAGCCGTCGAAGTTTTTATCGTTTGGTGCGTGGTAAGGTGATGAGGAGATAGCGGAGGAAGAGGGTGGCTGCTGGCTATTTCTAGTAGCTAACTGTTCAGTTCGGGATTTTGGGAGGGGGGAGATAGGGCCGGATCCACGATCTGTTGTTTGGCTTGGTATGGATGACCCTGACCGTGGTGTTGGCTCGCTGCTTTTTATTGGTTCGAAACGCTCGGAGACTTGGTTCGCGAGCACGATGGCGATGTCTTCCTTTACGGCGAGGTTGCGCAATAGATGGCCCAATTTTGCGAGCTGGGATGATCGTTTGGTGAGGGCTTGGATGCTGTTCGATGGTTGTTCAGCGCGGTAATTGGATGTTACTGAATCGATGATGACCAGGCCGATGTTATAACGTTCGATGGCGACGGGAAGATGGAAATTTAAGATGTGATCTTGTGTCTCCAAGTCCATGGCGTTGATGGACAGGATATTCTGCAGCGAGGGCGCTTGCTCGGCGGGGAGTGTTGAGAGGATAGGATGACATTCTAGGAGCTGTGAGAGTCGTGGCGTAGATAGTGGGTGTTCTGTCGATATATATATGGCACGTTGTTGTAGCCCCTGTGGTTTGGGTAGCTGGACGGCTAGACAGAGGCTTAGAAGGAACTGGGTCTTGCCGCTTCCACTGGACATTGATCCACATGTCAGATTGTGCCTGTCCGGCTCATAAGACCTGGATGAACTCCTGCGACATACCTCTCGCCTGTAATTTCTGTGACATATCCAGTCGGAATTCCACCTCCTAGGAGTGCATCCATACCAGGGTCAAGAGTGCTTATAGTGTTCCATTGTGACGTGCGCTTCGTCGATCCGATTGTCCTGCTCGCCACATCAGGGTTTATACTGGAGCTGGGCCCATCGCTGGTCCCTGTATCTGCCTGTGACTTTTCAAAGCCAACATCGGTGTGCAATGCCTCAACGATGCGGGAGGAGAGCCGGCGAACGTCTGCGGGAGGTACGCGGGCACGTTTCGCGATCTCAAGAGAGTCAAGAGTGATCAGGTCGACAGTGGTGACTTTAGCTCGTTCGAGGGGAGGAAGAATGTGTGCAAAGGTTTTCGTTACAAATCCAGGTAGGACTAATAGAAGATCCATAGGAAAAGCGCTGTCGATATAGGCGTTGATGTTGCGACTCTACGATTGTTCAAGGCCTGAGCCAATCACAGCGGGGAAAGATGATGTTCTTTAATTGGTCGGTCTCGAACCAACGACGTCCATGAGTGGATATTTTCACGTGACCTCATACAGGTGTAGGGCCAATTAAACACTGGTAAAAAGCCCCATATCCTATCTCCATCCTGGAGGAAGAGAAAAACAGGAAGCTTCTCTTTGATGAGCAGTTTCACCCTTGTGCAGGAGCAATGCTAATCTTCTCTGTATATTTTCAGTTGACCATATGCGCCGAAGGGTAAAAGGTACCCTGGAGATTTGATATAAATACTGTCTTCAGGTAGAATTATACCGCCCATTTGTATGTAGTAGACTGTCAGACTGGTCAACTTGGGCATGCTAGCCCTTATTTAGGGCTATTATCTGGCTCACAGTTTACTTTGAGTTGCATGTTTCTGGATATTTATTGACATTTGGAAAGCAAAAAATATACTCAGCATTTAAGAAATAGCACAGCCTCTTGTCTCTGCTGTTGAGATTGACGTCAGGCTTTTTGCTGGATCTGGATGGGGGTGGTGGACCTCAGGACGGATTCAAGGTCGTTCCATGGTGTTGTGAGGTACTATACTACCATGTTTTTGATCAAGTCATCGGTACTTCATTCTTGGATCAATGAGTATATAACAGGGATGTACATCTACATCTTTACAAACATCCAAGTCCGTCAACCGGAAATTTCTAGAAAAGGACGTGGTCCCCAAACTTAATGACTCGATGTATATATCTACTCAAGTCTACATCTTTCTTACTTTGCCCTTGAAATTATTCTCAAAAAGCACCTTCACATTGTTCTCAATAAACAACCTCAACTCGCCGCTTCCCCTTCTACAGTTATTTATTTCTCTTTCCCACTTTCATTTCTCATCTCTTCTTCGACCATCCGCAGCCTTCTCTTTCTTGCTTTCAACGACAGCCTTCTTGGCTTTCATTCCCTACGTCTACGCTATGTCCACTGCTTCCGGTCTCCAGCGTGTCATTCGCCGCTTTCTTTCTTGAACACCAGATTGATGCCCAAGACATGGCAAGGATCCTGGAGGCTCCTGAGAAGCCCGAGCCCCTCGCAGTGACCTCGTTGAGTCTGCCAGACATCCAGAAGATCCTTGGTCTCACCCAGGTTGTGGATGATGAGTTCGACTTTGTTACGCCTATCCCCGTCCTGCAAGATCTCAGTATGTTAGCCTGATGAATCGTACAAAGAAATCAGCTAACCTCAGCTAGAACTCTGGTTGGAAAAGTCGGACCGCGCTCATGGCACCAGCTACGCAAACGAAGCTAGCATACGCTATAAGCTCAACCTCCTTCTTGTCTGCCCTCACGATTTGGTATTGTCGTCTTCAAAAAAATCCCCGAGACCCTTGAACATTCAGATGGAACGTATATGGGCTTATAGCCCTGTGAAATGGAAGAGGAAGACATGGATGCTATCGGGGCGTCCCGATTGTGGCGTTTGGTATGGAGAGGAGGAAGACCTCGACTTGAACGTTATCATCATTGAGGCCAAGAGACCGAACAGTAGTAGCGAGGGGGTTCCGTAGACGCTGGCATATATGGGTAAGCACCTCACGATATCATCATCATAACGTACTCTTAGGCTGACCTGTCAAAAGGGTGCGTCCACAAGCAGCGCAAAGATCTTGGCAAGACAGACACCACCGTCTACGGTATCTCCACTGATGCCATGAATTTCACGTTCATGAAGCTCGACAATGAGTCTCGGGTAAGTGTATCTAAATCATGTCGGTGACTCTGATTCCAATGTTTACTAGTGGGCGTTAAAACTAGTCGCTGTCGTTGGAAATGGGTTCGAACAACTGCTTGGTCTGCTAGTCTACCTGATGAAAAAAGCGACCTCGTTGTCACCCGCCCCCTTCAAACGCACATCTCGTTGGACACAACAAGGATCAGGGGAGTCTGACCTGACCTTCGACCATGACCCTGAGAAGTATGATGAGATGGATGATGAGATGGATGTTGAATGATTTCGTCGTCGCATTCGTCCTTTGGCCTTCTTTCTTGCGTCCTTTTCCTCTTCTTCGCTGGACGTTCTTTCCTCGCCGTCTTGATGTCCTTCTTGTTCTCCTTTCCTGCTTTACTGCGTATTCCACTCCTTGCTCTTCTTGTTTTTGCCCGTGTCCCTTCGCTAGTATCACTTGATCAAAATACAAGTCCATTTTTCCAAACCATGACCTAATTAATAGATAGTGAGCCGTACATCCACACATTCTCTGCTTCTTTGATATCTAAACCCGTAGCCCAAAACCCGAAAGGAGTCGGGAGATGACAGGGTATTATACAGGTCAGGTTTGGCAAGCAGAATCAGGAGAGATGGAATGCGACTGCCATTCTCGCCGCTGCTAGTGCACTGCGCTCGGCTTGGTGATCATTCATTGCTGATCCCCAACACGGACTAGAAGCCATAGGATAACCAATTTATAACCCCGAAGATGAGTTAACAAAGGTTCGATCGAGATGATTTGTCCTTTATCATTCTTTCAGCTTCGACCCTTGTTGAAATCGGTCTGGATAATCATCAAAACCAGCAAAAGCAGTTGGTACGTCAGCACCGTCGAAGCGAGCGCAGTCATCTCAGCGAGGAGATATTCTCCGAGAGCAACCACCGCCGCAAGGAAGAGGAGATTGCTAAAGCTGTAGCTGAGGAGACTCCAGATATGAAAGCTCGGTATGGTGAGCTTCCCTTAATGTAGTCGGCCACTCGAACACGAGAATTGCGGACTCGGATCGATGACATAACTCTTGCCATGGAGGGACAGCTACACCCCTATCAAAAGTCATGGAATATAATATGGTTGCAGAGGGGAAAAGCCTCGATTTATCTTAGCGCGACCGTATCAAACTTAAGTCAATACTCCGTAGATGCAGAAAGGAGAATTGTATTCTACCGTTTGACTTCTAACCCTTTAACAGCCACTCACATGATGAAATATTCCTGCCGCCCGTCCCGACCAAGAAAATAGCCCAAACGCGAAGACGGGGCCAGAGCGCTGGCGTTATTAACCGCTTCGACAGGGGGTGTTTGGAGCTGAGGCGGATATTACAACTTCATAAACGGAGGGAGTATAGAGTATGGAGTAGCATGTTTCAGTTAAAATCAAGGGCGATATTTGCATAGATGTATGTCTACTATTCTACGAGATATATGCTCTGTGTGTGAGGTGCACACATTTGCATATGTTCATGTGGACGAGAGAGACTCCTTCTAAATACAGATAATTATCCTTACGATATATGAAGCTATGCAACTTGTGCGTATATTCCATTTCCATACTCCGTACTCCGTACATTAGGAAGGACAAACCCCGAGTCATTTATCACCGCCCTCTCAACGAACATGGAGTAACGGCCAAGAGTCCGCTGAGCGCTAGCGAAATTTGTGTAATATAGTGAAACCTTCTAGAATATCAAAGCGCTGAATCGTAACAATACCTATGATCTTCGGGGGCTGGGAGATTACTATTCTTACGGCTGAAATCATTCAAGGATCGAGGATTTGTATGTTGTATATAAAATTTCTTACAGTGTACAGAGTACGGGGTATTTCAAAGTCACTTTTTCTTCCAAGCTTACTCCATACTAGAACCTATCATAGTTATCATCTTGATAGTCCAGAGTAAATTATTACCTACTGTGGGTGGATATTCACATCGAGCCGTGAGGATCCACAGCCCCTACAACACATGGCCAGCGGGGACTAGGAAACAGTAAAACATAACAAAAAGTAAATACAGGAGCACATCATTATGCAGACGATCTTCGTCGCCACAAGGAATTATGCGGTGCCGAGTTGAAGTGTGCCAGGGTTACGTAGTAAAGTATATAACCTTGCATTATCACTTGAATATCATGTCCAATAAAGGTTGTTTGGCTACTCTGTATTTATGGGCAAGTGGATCGAGGGAGTTCTCGAGTCAGACCAATCGACTATCTAGAGCTGATGTAGCAGTTTCTCATGGCCCGACTTCCCCGGTACTAAATTCTAAAGGAGATCCGCAATTGAGTACTTTGTGCTTCGTATAATTACTTTGGAATATAACGCGAATTATACTCCGTACAAATTACAATAATGAGAAAAAGAATTGGGTTCAAGTCTACCAGTGCATATCGAAAGAGCCGTTAGATCCGGCCCGGTTTGGAATTCCTTCCTAGATTGTGTACTCCATACTATTTAATGCAGATGAATCCGTAGGCCACAAGCTACATTATAGAGTGCGGAGTGGTTTTTTTTTTCGCAATTTTGGTTTTATTCAGTCTGTTCAACACCGTGTTTAAAACAAAGCACTAAACAGGTCTACAATTAATAGAGCGGTACGAATTGTGGAATGTTCGGTGCGGACCGTGTGGGGAGTAACATAGGGGAGCAAAAAAAATAATGATATGGAGATCCAGTTGAGGCATATCAAGAGGTTGATACTCGGTACTTGGTACTCTGTATGTTGTATACGATATCAGATTCATATCGACAGGGGAGTCAGATATTCAACGAGAAGGAGAATTTGCAGATTAAAATCATAGAACTTTGCACAATTGGATTAACGACTGGCAGCTGCATCTCCTGCCAGAAACCGTCTAGTCGGTCCTGGACGCCCATAAGAGACATCGCTGATTGGCTGAGTGCAGTCAGCCAAGCCAAGCTGCGAGAGGGGATCGGTGGTTCGATGGAGTCCGCTTAATTGACGAAGCGAATCATGTTTTCTGGCGATTTACAATCGGTGTTTCCTGATCTTTCCTGGGCAATGTCTGAATCGGGAGATTCGAAGTTCCGAGTCCCTTTTCCTTTGAAAGTTCTCAGGACTAGTTCTGTAATGAGAATACACGGTATTGAAGTTTATCAGTGGATTTTTTTCAGCTAATACATATGGAAATTGATATTGGAACCTTCAAAACGACATATTTATCTATTAAAGTAGCTCAATATAAGCATAGGACATTATGGAGACCAGGGAAAATAAAGCGACTCCGGTCCGTTGGACTGGGTTGCCGGAACCTTGGAACCCAGGGAGATAGACGCCGGATAACGTGGATGTTCCATGGAAAATAAATACGCTGTCTTACAAAAAAAAAGCAAATAGATCTACATAGAATTGATACATAATATATTTTAGATTTCAGTTCTAATTATATTTTATTTCCTTACCATTCAAGTTACTGGTAATATTCAAAGTACGGTAAACGTCAATTTGGCCTTGAGTATTGTAGATTAATGTAATGTAGATGGCATGGGATAAATACACCATCTAGGTATGCGCATCTTTATTTTTTAAAAAAAGGTATACATATTGTAAAGCAGAAACATACAAGGCAACCATACGGGGACCTGCGGGCTCCAGCGGGGCCCGAACAGGTATGTACTTACCGCAATTACATACCCATCGGGAGGCGTACCAAGTCTCGGGGTTTGCGAGTCTATTGTCGCTTTTCCCCTCTCTCTTCTCTCTCTCTCTCTCACACTTGATTCTTGATTCTTGATTCGAAGTTTTCCCGAATTCATCGAACGATTTTTGTTTTCTATGTGTGGCTAATTCGAATACAACATTAGAAGTCTTTCCAACAACTTTATGTGAGGGAAACTAGGGGAGAACAACATTTGAAGGAGACAGTCTATCAACATAAATCAGCACTTGTCCAAGGGCCCATTGATTCTGGATTGTACGTTGCGGTCCGTGGCGGAATTGACACAAAACGACTCCTTTGACCACGCGACTTTTTCTGATACTGCGACCGGCAGAATATCTGGAAATAAGAGCATCAATCAGCGAAAATGGCAAGCAGACCATCCATCATGCCGCCTCACAATGAGACCGAGCACTCAGTTAGCCGGATCACCCGTGAAGGCAAACAGCTCACATACAAATTGAGCGTGATGCAACAACCAGAGCGGGCGAGAGCTTGCGGCGCGGGAGCAAAGTGTGAGTATTGAGCCTAACCAGGGCTGAACATTGACTGACCATCGTAAATAGCATCTGCCGACCGTCGCCCCGTTGACCCACCGCCTGTGGTCGAGCTGCGTATCTTCGAGTCCGACCCGGGTAACGAGGCGCAAAAGACCGATATCACCTTCGCCTACAATGCCAATTTCTTCCTTTATGCAACCCTTGATACCGCACGCCCTATCGCCCACGGACGCGTGGGTGGACCACAGTCGTGTCCTGTATTGACTGGTGTACCAGTCGCCGGTGTTGCATATCTCGACCGTCCCTCGCAAGCAGGTTATTTCATCTTCCCAGATCTGTCAGTGCGCCACGAGGGTCGGTACCGCTTGAACTTCCACCTGTACGAAGAGATCAAGGACGCCAAGGATGCCGACAAGGATTCCACTTTGCCTCTTCCCAACCAAATAACCCATTCCGCTACATCGAAGCCTGGTGCTCCACAAGCATTCCTTCATTTCCGTCTCGAGGTCAAATCGGTACCGTTTACCGTTTATAGTGCCAAGAAGTTCCCTGGCCTAGCGACTAGCACCTCTCTGAGCCGTATCATTGCTGAGCAGGGTTGCCGGGTTCGCATTCGTCGTGATGTTCGCATGAGACGCCGGGGCGACAAGCGAGAGGAGGACTACGACGAGGAACGCGCAGCTGCGTATGCAAGATCGTCAGATCGTTTCACGACACCCGATAGATACGCCGCTTCGATGGATCGTCCTAGATCAAACAGCAATGGGAGCAATATGGAATCGCCCTACGGATTTGTTGCCCAGGATCGACGACCATCTGCACCCGACTATGGCTTCCAGTGCCCGCAACCCTACCAAAGACCCATACCACCTGCACCCATGTCACACTCCCAAACTCCCTCATACCAATCACACCTTTCATTTGGTTCCACGCCTTCGCATTATCCGGCTCCTCACATGCCTCCTACACCTCCACCGGTCGCACCGCAAGGTTACTCCCCACAACGCACATATGCCCAAATACGACATTCATCCAACGCCTCCGAATACGAAGGGACGCCAATTGCGTACCCCACGGCGTCTCAAGTACCTACTGAACGAGGTGGTTATCCCAAGTCTTCTATCAATTCCTATCGCATGGAGCCACCGAAACCAAACTCATACATGGATTCCCGCATGGAACCTGGTGTATACCCATCCATATCCAATGCTTCGGTGCCACGTTCTCAAACGCCGATTACGGCTCAGTCTATCCCGCCTCTCAAGCCCCTGCCAAATGAATATGGAAACCAGGTTGTTCCTTCTGTGGAAACCACTTCACCCGGCGATGGCAGCGGCGGATACGACAACGTCAGAGGAAAGCGTATGGTATATCAAACTGGGCCAGCATACGGCAAAAGGAGTCATGAAGATACTTTCGGTCCTGATGACCGGTCAATGCAGAACGGCAGGCGGCCTGATACCGAGCCTTATCCGAGCGCCTATCGCGATTTCTCAGGAGAAAGTCGCTCTGCACTGATGGCTGAAATGGGAATTCATATGGCTTACAAGCGTGCCAATGGCAAAATGGTCATGAAAGCTCCTCCGACTTGATAAGATCTGACAATGTCTCGTGGTGGCAGAAAACACGATATGCTCGCCTCGGCCTTACCTCGATGACTGAGTCTCAAAACGGTCAATGGACTGGATTTTTGTGATGGTATCTGATTGGGATGTTTTTTTCGTACATGACTTTTTCTTTTTGTTCCTCGTTGAGGCTACTGTGGCCCTAGATTTCTCGATGTCTCTGGACTCATATCGGGAAATGGTTCCTTTCATGTTCCAGTATTTTGGGAGGAATTTCTCTGGTCAAGGTTCGGAGTTACATAGGAGTTTAGCTGTTGGCTATTCTTATTTCCTAGCCTCAAGATCATTTATGTTTGTCACATACATTTCTGGTACTTGCATCATTCTCGAATGGCCTCATTCTATCATCAAGAACAAGGCGCCTTCTCTTCATCCTATGGGATTGGACCAGGGACTGCCATCCCTATCTCGATTCCAGCTGAGATATCCTTCAACATTGCTCTTGGACCGTACACTTTCCGAACAGACAAGGGCTGGTCTCAGTAACCTTGGGATACTGGGTGCCTTGCTTCACACCCAAAACCCCTGCTGCTTAATCTATTCTTTATGCCGGCGTTGTGGCATCTCCTTGATACCTAGTAACATTTTTCTTTTTTACCTTTACTCGACTCCATCTATGACTTGCATAAATTTATCAGAATGCAGATGTTCTAGTAGCCAAGGGTTGTCCTATACACCTCTCCTATGGACATGTCATATCTACATTCCTTATCGAAAATGTATAGGCACATGTTTGAGACATGTGGAATTCTACCTTCCAGATTTTATAGATACAAATTTACACATGTTTGTTTTGGGAGGTATGCCCAGGTTGACATTGATGTCACGGGTACTTTATAAATTATGGAAGGTTTGCGGTAGACGTGGGTACCGGGTACCACAACAAACTTCCCCCCTTGGCAAGTGCGGAGTATGTAAACAAACCTGCGCATTCGAGTCTCCCGAGATTTTCATTTCAATTTTCAATTCTTTGTTCTATTTCTTCCCTTTCACTCTCACTACATTTCTATGCCAAACCCTGACATAGTTTTGCCATTTCTTTCCAAGGGCGTGGGGGAAACATAACAGCTGCAAAGGTAAGGTCCCTTGCCATAACCCCCATGGAAGGGATTTCAAATCCCGCATAAGAAAGATTCAATCTAACTTCCGTGCATCGTTTCAGCGCCCACGACTCCAAAATGGAAATGAAAATGGACATTGACCCGAGCCCCGCACACCAGCGCTCCTCGCGCAAGCACCTACGCTCTAGCGACGACGATAAGTACTACGATTGGAGCTCAGACATCTCTGGACAATTCGACGATGCCGAAGAGGCGCACGCAGACGAGCACCGATCGCCGGCAGCGAAGCAATCCAAAAGACGTCGGTCAAACGACTGGCCGTTGCCCGAAGAAGCCGCTGATTACGGATCCCACGATCGTCGCACCCAGCGCGGTGAGAACGGGAGTCTCAGCGTGAGCGCAAATGGCTCAGGCTATAAGGCGTCGCCACGCGCTTCACCCCGTGGCTCGCTCGCTTCGCTGCGCGCTCGCCATGCCGCCGTATCTGCTTCTAGCCCCCGCCGTCCTAGAGGACGGACATCGCGCTTCGTCGAAGCGACTATGAGTGATAGTGTCAGCGAGAGACCGCCCAGTATCTACTTCCAGGATCAGGAAAACAAGCAACCTGGTCTTCAGCGCCGCTCATCTGGCATTTTTCGTTTTGGGAAGGCTATTGCCTCGGCATTTAATCCCTTTGGTGGATGGGGAAGGAACTCTGAGGGTTCGCCTAATAAGTCGCCGCAGAAGGATGTCATCAACCAGGCGGAGCAGGCCTATGCGGAATTGAAAAAGGCAGGCTATAAGGGTACGAATAAGGGTCATTATATGGAGGACCTTGCTGCCAACAATGCCCACGCCGACCAGACCTGGCAGTCTATCCAACACAAGATAGGATACGGTTCTCCAGTCAAAGACTTGCACTGTCGTTCAATTGATGAAAGGGTCCATGCTGCACCCTCACGCTCTGAGTCTTCGGCTTCCAAACGCTCTTCTCTTCAGGATATGCGCCTGCCAAAGTCATTCTTCCAGAAATCTCATGGATCACCATCTGCTTCCCCAGCAGTATATTGCGATGTAACTTCTGACGATAATGAGCCGATTGGACTGCGTAAACGACCCTCCCGCAGGGAACTCTCGCGCCAAACCAAGCTGCTTAAGAAAGTTAGCAACCTCGAGGACAAGCTGCAACGTGCCCGGCAGGAGCTTCATGACCTCACGGGCAACGAGGAGCGATCCCCAGCACTTACAGCCCAGACAAAGACCCTCAACACCGAGATGGATCCCGCATCGTTCCCAAGGAAGTTTGTCCCTGGTGCCCTTCCCACTCTGCCGTCGGAAAGACTTCTGGATCAACAGGCCGCAGAAAACGGATCCGAAGCGGCCAGCCTGACGGCACTGCCATCCATGGAAGGCCGCGAAACTTTCTCTTTTGAAGAACCACGACTACCTGAAACTCCAGCTACGGCCCAAAGTCCAAAGCGGCGCTCGAAAGGGTCACAGTCATCCATGGGTAAGGACCGCTCTTCCCGTAAAAGGAAGTCTTTCATTCCTGAATCTATTGATAGTGGGGATCCTCCTCAGCCCAATTCGTCGGAAGGCATCAACGATCACGAACGCGAGTCCGGTCTCGAGGGTCTGATTGACCCCGGTCTACTTAGCCCACCCGGAAAAGCGAAATGGCAGAAATCCGAGGCCGGCGAGAGCCCCGGCTCAGCCAAGCGCAAGCAAGCAACCGTCCACGCAGCTCCCCCGACCGAGCACGAAGAAAAGGATGCAGGAGGAAATGCAAGTGCTACGTGCAACATCAAAAGGTCCCCCTACGTTCAACCCCGAAAAGTCTCCGGACTCACCCGCTCACCAAGTTCCAAGCCCACAACTCCTCTCCGTATGAAGAAGAGTCAGACTAGCCTGCGTCCGGCGTCTTCACCTGCCGCTGCCTCGGGCAACGATTCTCATTCCAGTATCTGGGCTACACCTTTGCCTGCCCCGCCAACTGACCCTCACCGCGACGCCTTCTACCACCACCCACAGCGCCAGCTCAATCCTGATCGTAGCCCTCTCACCCCGACACGTCCGAAGATGGGTCATGCTCGGAGGCGATCTGGGTATCTTTGTGATGATGATATTCCGCCCGTACCGCCCCTTCCCGAAGAACTTCGCTCCAGTGCTGCCAAGGTGAATGTCAATGTGAAAAGGTTGCCTAAAAAGAGACCTGTGCCTACTCCAGCGCTTTCTCCGTCGTCGGCTTCTGGTGCGGATTCTGTGATCTCTGGCCTTGAAGATTATCTGTGGCCTGAGGATATTTTCTGAGGGGGTTTCCATTTATTTTCTTATGAGGAATGATGCTTACGAGGTTTTCTTATGTTGGGTCATTTGAGCAACGCTGTGTAAGGTGTGTATTTCATTGGGCTGGATTGTTTTTTGATAGTTTTGGTCGACGTGATGTAACGAATTAATGAATTTCACATGTTTTATACCCTAGTGCCTTGTGTACTCCTAAACGTTATTGCATGGTAATAGTAACTCTGAGAAATCCACAGCCTCCTAGGAGCAGATCAAGTACATCCCAGAACCTAGTCTTTGTTTCCTAGGACATGGCACATGAACATCAACCCAGCTAACATATCAACAATGATATCTCTTTTCAATTCATGTACGGATGACCTCTGAGGCAATACAAAATACATTAAATCCACATATTTAGGGCCCATGCCCCATCCCGCTCAATCAAGCAAGTATTCATTGAACCCGGTGTTCACCATAAAAGGGCGTTAAAACGCTGCTACCAACGCAGCTCCTGCAACACCGACAAACATACCACCCGACATAAAAGTCGGCATACTCGCCAGTCCCGTCGACGTCGACGTCGATGGTGTTGGCGTCGGTTTCGTGTACGGTACGATAGACGTCGGGAAATCACCCACTGCATCCGGGATCTCAGGACCATCTCCAATCTCCACAATATCGTCCGAGCCAGGATTCCCATTCAAGGCAGCAACTCCAATAAAATCATTGTTGTAGTTGATGGCCATATACATATGGTCTGAGAAACTGGTACCGATTGTACCGGAGTAGGTTGCGTTCACGTTTTCTTCTTCCGGTTGTATGAGGAACTCACACTGTTCCGAGTCGGGGGCGCCCCATGGAATGAATAGGTCGCTCCATTTTGTAGAGATGGTAGCGTCGCCGAAAATCAGGGAAATAGTGTGGTTTTCGGTGTATTGTCGGGAGCATGGGAGTATACCAAATTGGGGATCTTCGCCATCCCAACCGACAAAGGAGATGTTGTAGTCCTTATACATCCGTAGAACCGCTTCCTTGGGAAGGGTCGTGGTGATGTACTGGGCGGTCAGCGTGTATGGCTTGGAGCTGGACAGGGTATAATTTGTTGGGACCTTTGACTCTGTGTGCGCTTGGAATCTCGAGAGAGGGAGGGACAAGGTTCCGTATGTCCTGTTAAAGGCAAAGGCCTGTAATGGGCCGTGATACTTGGCTTTGTTGATTCCGCCAAACAGTATCCCTGCCCCTCCGCTTTCAGATGTATTGCCCCATAGACTGAACGAGGGGGATCGGATCAAGTCCCGATCGACTAGCTGATAGGGAAATGAATTGCTTTCCGGAGATAGACCCATCGAGTTCCCTGTTAGATTGGATTAGGTCAAGTCGGAAGTCAGACACCGAGAGTGTATACTAACAGTTTGTGTATCCGACGTCCAAAAGTTCTACTTCGACATCCTTCACTTGTGTCCCTCCAACAGTGATAACGTCAGTGGGTGTCATGTAGGGACTTCCAAACTTTATGTCACTTGGAACGTCTTTGGTGCCATTACTAGACGATTTGGTGATATTGTATGATCCAAGTAAGGAACAATAGCGATTATCCTGACATCCAGGCTTTGTTATACGTGTGTCCTCGGTAAGGACCATGAGCGTGTCACGCAGGAAGTCGACCAACATGCCCATGGGCTGCGGTGGTGTGCCAATCGAGACATTGACGAAATTTGCCACCTGAATATATATGAGACTCCAATCTTAAGCAATGATATTCCAGTTGAACGTACATAGGTGGCCATGTCCGCCGCTACAGTGGCAGTGTCTCTTTTCATTAGCGGCCTAGATATTTCACGGCCATAGAGTTCCATGCCAACCACTGCAGGTACGTCGCGCACAGGAAATGAATGGGCGCTGGCACTGGCACTGGCACTGGCCCAGTTGGACCATGCCCATAGAGCCGTAATAAGCGACTGTCGCATTGTAGAATGATGTTGCTTTCAAGATGTGTCTATCTCATGTTTACAGAAAAGAAATGCAAAGTAAAGGGCGGAGTCAGCAGACAATAAATTGCCCCAATCCTCAGGCGTTACATGGGGCGATTCTTAGCTTGAAGATTATAAGACATTATTGCCTTGGCATTATTTAACGCCAATTGCCTGTTACGTTTCAGCCCCGTGATGAAAAGAGTTTCCAACGAGTGTGACCCTGGACATGCTAAGGCGAATGGACCTCCGAAAAGGAAATTGCTTGCCCATAAGAGTATGACTAAGATTTTGGTGAAAAGGGGGCTTATGGTTATAACTGCAACATCAGTCACTAGCAACCCTCGCATATTGTCTTCTAGATAGGATCTCATCTTCTCGAAGCGCCTGAAAATGGTGCTCTTTATACAAGCTTTCCAGATAATATGTCTTTCGGCTCTCTGTACCAATCGAACCCCCGTCGTATACCATTCAGCTCGGACCCATCAATCTTGATGTAACGCAGTATCCTTAGGCAAGATCAACCAGCTCACACCAGCAGCACCGAGCAAACCAACAAGCATGGGCTGTAGAACCTGGACTCCAACCTGTCCCGCGATGATACCCGTCAGTGCGGGAAAGATAGATCCACCAATTTGACCGAGTACAAAAACGAATGCTAATGGATTAAGGTTAGAACAAGTTCCAGCCACGTGGACTCCAAGGCTGCGGGGGCTTACCGATTGCCGAAGAGCGGATTTCCGGTGAGAAGATTTTTGAGCCGACCGATATACCCTAAGGCAAAAGTTAGAATTGGGATCAGGAATATAGAGCGGGCGATACTTACTGTTGCGAAGAAAGGACCAGAGAAGAATCCCAATAAACTGACTGCTACTGCCTCAGTGATGATATTCGGGACACTAGTAGGTAAGGCACGAGTATCAGTAAAGACAAAGCAAGATATCGGGACATAGATGGGATCTTGGAGATGCCAAACTCACAGCCAGAATACCAACTGCAACCCTACACACAGCACAGCATAAATAAAGATCATCCTGCGCTCGCCAAATCTATGCGTAGGCTCGGCGAGGAGAAGACGTCCTAGAAACGATCCACCATAGAAGCCGGCTGGGACATAACCCATTGATTTGACATCGCCGTTGCGGACATTGACAAGGTACTCGACCATCCAGCCTGGTTAATTAGTTCCAAAGATCATATCCATCATATCATGTAGAGAGAAAAAGGAAAAGACAAACCTCCAGCAGTGATAGTAGCACCAAGAAAGAAAAAGAAAAACAAACTCAACAGCCAAACCCCGGGCGTAGAAAGTGTATCCTTAATCTCCTTAAGCGCAGACGCAGTTCTTCCTTCCCTCTCTCCCCTCAAAATAGTCGGAGTAGCCATACGGTCCCGGAACGAAACACCCACAAGCGCAAGATTCGCCACCCCCACACCAAGCGGGAAAAGATAAAACAGATACCACTTCGAATCGATATTTGCTGACGCTACACCAGTCGCTACAAACGGGCCAACTAGACACCCGCCCGCGTACATAGCGTGGATAAAGCCGAGCCATCGGTGCGCGCCGTTCAGCCCTGAGATGAAGGTGTTGGCGTGAGTATCGTTGTAGGCTTGGCCTAAGCTGGCGAGGCAGAATGTTATCGCATATAGTGCGAATGGGGGTTCCCAGACACGCAGCACTTGGGATAAGACTTGGATGGCGGCGCCTAGGCATAGGATTAGGCCTAGGTCTAGGTATTGGACTATTTTGCCGTTGGTTAGGGCGGCGATTAGCCAGCCGAAGAAGGTTGTACCATATCTGGCGAAATGTTAGTGTTGTGTTGTAGATGGGTATTTATTGGTCTGGCCTTACAGGACGGCCACCATGTTTGTGCCGATGTCATAGGTGCGTATCACATAGGGAATGAGCGATCCTAGACTTCCGTCGTTGACCCCCGCGACGAAAAATGATAAGCCTGCGCTGAGGATTTTGGCATACATCCATTTTAGCTCCGGGGGGCTCGAGTCTAATGATTCATGCTCAACTGGAATCGCTTCGGTGGAAGCTCTTGTCCGTAGCACGATTGTCTCCGTTTGCGTCTGGGTGCTCATGATGAGATGGAATATGGGAATGTGCCTTGGGTAAGCCCGGAGGACGAAACCCTCTTTTTTTATATTCAAGAAACGGCAATCCGGCCCGGGCTTGCGTAGTTTAGAGGTTCAATATAATGCAAGCGGCCAGGATGTGGGAGAAATGCGGAGTTGCTGGCCCGAGGTTTAGCCGGAGAGACGGCCATCATATAGATTAAAAGGAGTCACAAGATGCTGTCTCGCATATCTCTGACTATTGTTTCTTTCCTTGGATAAGAGGAACACACCTGGTCAGAATTAGGTATCTATTTGAACAAGGCACTTGATATAGATGGTTATATTGCACAGCCGTAGGAGGCTAGACCTGTTATACAGGGTTCACCCTCAACAGCCGGATTACATAGCGTACAGTCCAGGGCAAAGGCACGATATCTGTATAAAGTTCGAAGAGTCCTGGTGGGCTCGGAGGATATGCGGAGAGATTTCCCTGTACTTGGGTCCCATAGAATGATGTTTGAATCTGGTTAAGTTGGTGGATGCTACGCGTAGGATTGGTCTTAGGCCTTGAGAGTTTAAAGGCCTGTGGATTACAACGCTGTATACATTGTTTACATAGATCTACGAGAAGAAACATAATCGTAGGCCATTCGGCCTCATTTTTTTGCCTTTTTCATTTAGGTCATTGAGGGAATTCCCCCCAAAGATGGTGTGTGCACACAGTAACGATACCAGCTCTATGCCAAGCATGAGAGATCGTGATGTATTAGCCACTTTCTACGTAGTTAAAGCACGAAAAAGAAATATCCACCGGATCCAGGAATTTCACAAGACGCTGCAAAAACGGTATGCGTGTCAGACGAAAAAAAAAAGAAAGAGATAACAATAAACACAAACACCCATAATTGCTGTCGCAGGAAGTATCGTATGATCAAGCCAGTATGCCCCCGGCCCCAGTTTGCCATTGCGCCGAAGAGACTAGAAAAGATTCAAGCGTGATTATTCGTTTCGGTCATAGTCTTGCCACCCCAAATATGAAAACAAGATAGCAATCATCGCTAGAAGGACATGTAATCAAAAAAAGAGATCTCGATTAACCCTGGGATGGGACACCAGTGGACTCCGAGGTGGCTCGGCCGCCGCGGCCACGGCCGTAGCCACGGCTGTAACCACCTCCACCTCGACCACGACCATAGCCGCGGCCACGGCCACGACCGCGGTAGTTGGGGCGGTAGCCATCAACGCTACCCTGTCCGAAGGTTTCCATATTGCGTTTCTCCTCCTCGCCACGCCATTCGCGACCACCAACACGAGCGGTGTTTTCCTCACGATCGCGAGCCTCGCTCGAAATATTGTCGAAGAAAGAAGAGCCGCGGTTGTAGCCATGGTGCGAAGTGCCACCGCTATTTGACATGGATTCCATGGATTCCGCCTCCTCGGCTGCATGAACCTCAGCTTCAGCAGCAGGAACTCCGGTGGCAATCGCTTCCTTCACCAAATCCTGCTTGTTGAATTTGGCATTTGCGGTTTGGAAATCGTAATCCGATTGGGGGACTTCGATTTTCTTGGGCTGCTGCTGAGGACGAGCACCGCCGCGTCCACCACGAGGGTGATGGTGGCCGCCTCGGGGAGCACGGGTGTTGTCGTAAGGGCGCATGTGGTTCATCTGCTGCGCAAGCGCGTCCACGACACCTTCGGGCTGTCCGGGTTGCTTCTGCGCACCGGGCTGCGGCAACTTGGCCATGGCGGCAGCAACGGCAGCAGTGGCGGCCGCAGTGGCATCGGTGATCGACTGGTTATTTCCCCGAGGGGCGGTAGGAATGTGGGCGACCGGAGGAGCAGGCTTTGGAGCAGCAATTGGGATAGCTGGCATGACTCGACCATTCTTCTGAGGGACAGCAGTCAGAGGAGCAGTGCTGACAGGACCTTGCAAAGCTTCAGCCACAGAAGGCTTTGACTCAATTGGAGGAGTGGGGGCGTTCTGAGCGGCGGGGGTTGCGTTACGGCTCGTAGACTTGTTGGCAACCTTGTCCCCGACCGGGAGTTCAGAGGTAGGCTTGGGTGCGGGGGCGGCACCAGGAGGCCCCGGGCGCTGAGCTCCAGGCTGCTGAGCTCCAGGCTGCTGAGGTCCGGATTGCTGAGGTCCAGGCTGCTGGCCAGGGCCAATGGGCATCGGGGGTTGGAATTGACCAGGACCAGGAGGGAATCCATGGCCTGGAGGTGGGTACCATCCGGGCGGAGCACCGTAGGGCGGGAAACCGGGACCGGGAGGGAATGGAGGAGGTGGTCCAAATCGCTGCTGTCCGTAGGGTGGGTAGTATCCTTGCTGGAATTGTTGCTGCTGGGGGTAACCGGGAGGAGTCGGACCAGCTCCCCCAGGGAGCTGGGGAGGGCCTTGTGGAGGGCCCTGGGGAGGAAGATTTGGTGGAGCAGGTCCCGAGTCAGGCCCTTGGGCGGGAACCGGTCGTTGCGCGCCCTATTTGCACTAGTCAGAACACTGTATACCCAACGAGACGAAAAACAAGTCCAAGATGGGGAATTGATCATCAGAAGGAAGGCAACGGAAATCTCTACACGGTTTTGCGCATTCAGAACAGGTCTGTGAGTTTACATCCGAGAATTTTTCGTCACTTGATCAATTTGCCGAAATAATGGGCGGTGATTTCTTGTGCGGGATGACGCGGTAGATCGAGGAAAGAGGTGTGGTGGTGACTTACCCCGAGAATAGCAGGGTCATCTGGTACCCGAGGTGGTTCTTGCGGTGCGGGATCCTTTTGGTCCTCCCCAGCAATGCTGATATCCTTCACATCACTTCCTCGAAAGACGATGTACTCGTAGACACTGGTGGAGGGAGGGACTTCCTCGGTGGGGTTGCCACGGCGCCCTTCTGAGCCGAATGACATGACATTCTCGAGAGCTATCGTGGAAGCTTCGGGATTGATTTCGTGAAGAGTACCGACATAGCTGAACGACAATTAATTGTGGACAAAGCAATGGAGACATTCTGATAAACTCACCGAATGTCACTTTTCGAGATCAGGTTGAAACGCTGACTGCCAAATGTTAACTCCAGGCCACCTTGGCTCCGAACAGGTTCAAACTGACCCTATGAGGTGATTCATTTCCATGGCAGCTGTGCGCGATATCGCGCGGGGTAAGCAAAGGGGAAGATACGGAGGGAATGAGAAGGAAAACGTAGAGGTTCGAAGAGACAAGATAGGAGGTTGGGAAGAGAAGGGAAGGGAGAGGAAACGCAAAATCTGTGGTTTTGTGGAGGAGTGCGGGCTACGGTGGACGATGTAAGCTCGGATAGCAATTTTGAAGTTGGCGGGGGAGAAGTTGATGGGGAAAAATGAGAGCTACTTGTACGTTTGACTTGATCTTTAGAGACTTGAGACACGATGACGACATCTTCGAACCGAGATCATTTCTTTCAAACATCGTGAGTCAAAATGATTATTTAGTCTTTGAATTGAAAAGTGTTAATTGACATCCCTTACAGCGCATCTCTGGATGACCAGGAGCGGAAAGATGCCAAGGCCCAGAATACCAATGGAAACCCTATTCGACTACAAGGCAAGATCCTAGCTGCTCATCCAGACCCCTGGAATATTGGCTCGATTTATGTTGCGCAAAGCAATGGCACTGTGAGAAGAATCATCCTTGCCGTAAGTGCACTCGTTATCTCAAATCTTAAATCGTCTCAAATTCCCAACTTCTCACATTACTACAGACAGGAGAGACAGCTAGGGTGTTCACAGGCCCTATGGCTCCCGTTACTTGTCTTTGTTTGAGTTCTGATGGCAAGCTCTTGTTTGCCGGATGCTGGGACAAAGCTATCTGGAGTTGGGACACGGCCACGGGCCAGCAACGCCAGAAGTACGAAGGCCATGCCGATTTTGTTCGTACAGTCATCAGTGCAAGACTGCTTGGAGATGATCTGCTCATCTCCGGCGGTGCCGATGCACAAGTCCTGGTATTCAATATCACGAGTGGTGAGCGATTGGAGACCTTCAAGGGCCACTCTCGTGGTATCCAGGACCTTGCCCTTGACCCAGAATCAGAGACTACTCAACCAATCGTATTTAGTGCGGGAAGTGATCGAGAGATTCGCCAATTCAGTATCTTTGGCGGGGGTAGTACTACTGACCCTCTCCTTCCACATGAGACCAGTGTCTACAAGCTCTTTTTCGATAATGACGGTGACCTCTGGACTGCTTCAGCTGACAAGACTGCCAAATGTTTGGTTCGAGAGGATGGGTGGAATGCCAATCTGACCCTAGAACATCCTGACTTTGTCCGAGATATTGTCGTCTATGAAACGGGAGGCTGGGTTGTGACCGCCTGTCGGGACGAGGAAGTTAGAGTGTGGAACCGGTCAGTAAGTATTTCTTTCTTTCTCAGTATTTCCATGGGATATATGCTGATTAAATAGACTGGGGCGCTCCATCATACTTTCTCTGGACACTTCGAGGAGGTCACTGGGCTGGTGCTTGTGGGGTCAACTATTGTCAGCGTAGGAATTGATGCGACCATTCGTCAATGGTCCCTTCGACCCGATGATCTTCAACAGGCAGTGGAACTTGCAAAGAAGCCCGCGGAAGAGGAGAAGAAAGAGGAGGAAAAGCCAGCTGAATCAATGCTAACGGCGGAGGAAGAGGCAGAGTTGGCAGAGCTAATGGGAGACGATTAGATGATGTGATACCCAATTATGCTTTGAGCATGTGTATACCTAGCAGACACATATGCAGTGCACTGGATAACATATAATATAGACTACTAGACCATACAGAACCTACAATATACACACCTGCAACCGTATAGTACTCACGTGACCTTCCTGATGCAGCCATGACGCACAGGGCCGATCTCCCGCGTCCACGACCTTCGCCTCGACTCCCCCGCCTAAAGGATGGCCCGCACACGACGTTATTCTTCAAGACACGCTCCAACCCTTTTGTATCCCCAGTGACGAGATATTATTTGCGCTACAAGCCACCACTTTATATCCCATTAAGACTCGATCGTGGGGTAGCTTCTAAAATTGAGTACTGTACTGCCGGAAGCCGTTAGTAACCCCTCTTGGGCCTCGGGCTTCGGGCTGACGGACCTCTAGTCTCCGACCAGCAGAAATATTGGAAAGTCACAATGGCGGCCTCGATCAATCACGCGCATCCGCGTCATGATGTACCTGACACAGGCCCAAAAATGGTCAATCGGTTGCAGCAGAGCAAATCCCCTTATGTGAGAGATGTGTTCCCCCGGGAGAAATTGCATCACGCTCATAGAACAACAGGTCCGAGGACATATGAACAACCCGGTAGCATGGCAAGTCTGGGATGCAGAATCCATGGAGCTTGCCAAGAAGTACAACCGTTTAATCTTTCTCAGTATCGGTTACTCTGCATGTCATTGTAAGTTACAGCCATCTCACTGGAGGTACTGGTATTCTAATATTGTCTAGGGTGCCATGTCATGGAAAAAGAATCGTTCATGTCATCAGAGGTGGCTTCGATTTTGAACGAGTCCTTCATCCCGATCAAGGTTGATCGCGAAGAGCGACCAGATATCGACGACATCTACATGAATTATGTTCAGGCCACAACGGGCTCTGGTGGCTGGCCCTTGAATGTGTTTTTGACTCCTGACCTCGAGCCCGTGTTTGGTGGCACTTACTGGCAAGGCCCAAATTCAAACACATTTACGGGCCCGGAGGCAATCGGGTTCGTCGAGATTTTAGAAAAATTGAGAGACGTCTGGCAGACACAACAGCAACGTTGTCTCGACAGCGCCAAAGAAATTACCAAACAATTGAAGGAATTTGCCGAGGAAGGGACTCACTCGCAGCAAAGTGATCGTGATAATGATAAAGAGGAGGAAATGGATATTGAGCTTCTAGAAGAAGCGTATCAGCATTTCGCATCTCGATACGACTCAGTCAATGGCGGGTTTGGCCGCGCACCTAAGTTTCCTACACCGTCTAACCTCGGCTTCCTACTCCGGGTCGGTGCCTACCCAACTGAGGTCAAGGATATTGTAGGGCATGATGAGTGTGAACAAGCAACCGCGATGGCCGTCACGACACTAGTGAACATGGCTCGCGGTGGCATTCGAGACCATATTGGCCACGGATTTGCACGGTATAGCGTGACGACGGACTGGGGTCTTCCTCATTTCGAGAAGATGCTTTATGACCAGGCACAGCTATTAGATGTTTACGTGGACGCTTTCCGGCTCACTCATGACCCCGAACTTTTAGGCGCTGTTTATGATCTGGCTGCCTACCTAACGAGCGACCCGATACAGTCGCCCACTGGAGGGTTCTTTTCCTCGGAAGATGCGGACAGTTACCCTCATCCAAATGACACCGAAAAGCGGGAGGGTGCCTTTTATGTCTGGTCTCTAAAGGAACTCACTTCCGTCCTTGGCCCTCGGGATGCCCCAGTTTGCGCCAAACACTGGGGTGTTCTCCCTGACGGCAACGTTCCACCCGAGCACGACCCGCATGATGAGTTCATGAACCAAAACGTGTTATCCATCCGCGCCACACCAAGCAAACTCGCTAAAGACTTTGGTCTTAGCGAGGAAGAAGTGGTTAAGATCATCAAGTCTTCAAAGCAGAAGTTACAGGACTACCGCGAGCGAACACGCGGGCGACCAGACCTGGACGACAAGATTATCGTGGCCTGGAATGGGTTGGCGATCGGTGCGCTTGCCAAGTGCAGTGTTCTGTTTGAGGAGATCGAGAGCTCCAAGGCTGTGCAGTGTCGCGAAGCGGCAGCACGGGCAATCAGCTTCATTAAGGACAAGCTCTTCGACAAAGCCACAGGACAGCTATGGCGCATCTACCGCGATGGAAGTCATGGAGACACCCCAGGTTTCGCTGATGACTACGCATACTTGGCTAGCGGGCTGCTCGACATGTATGAGGCTACCTTTGACGACAGCTATCTTCAATTTGCCGAACGACTGCAAAGTGAGAATAACCCCTTTGGTTTCAATGGGAAACAATGACTAACTTGGTGATTCTAGAGTACCTCAATGAATACTTCTTGGCTCAGAGTGGCTCTACAACTACGGGATACTACAGTACACCTTCAGTCACCACCCCCGGCATGCCTGGCCCCCTCCTCCGCCTGAAGACTGGTACCGAGTCAGCAACACCGTCGGTAAACGGAGTCATTGCGCGTAATCTGCTGCGCCTGTCCGCTCTGCTCGAAGATGAGAGTTACCAGACCTTGGCCCGGCAAACGTGCAACACATTCGCTGTGGAAATCATCCAGCACCCCTTCCTGTTCGTAGGAATGCTGGACGTGATTGTGGGCCTCCAGATTGGCACTCGCACGGTGACGGGTGTGTTCTCCACCGCCGATGTCTCGAACCCTAATCCACGTGGTGACAGTCTCCTCAGTCGCAATGATGAGCCTGTGTCGACAATTGACATAATCCGGCGGCGAATTCGGGAGGAGGCCGGCGTGGCCGTGTCCTCGTCTATTGTGGTCACTTCGCTTGTTGACATTCGCCCTTCACATCTGAGAGACTTTGTGGGGAATCAGTCTTTCTGGCTCAAATCCCGCAACCCCCTCTTTCAAGATTTAAAGGCTGCCGAGCCGGCCAAGAACTACTTGATGGTTTGTGAGACCGGGAAATGCCGAAATATTGATATCTAGGCGAGCGTTATGGGGTGTTTTTTTGGCTATGTTTTCGATATTAACATCAGGGGGCTTTTTTGTGTGGCGTTTTTGGACGATTGGTTCGGTTGGGTCAGGCTTTATGTTATTTCAGAGCGGATCTCCTGCCGCCCCTGTGGACTTTCCTGTGGGCTTCCAATGCCGGAAATGTGGAGGTATGTGAAGGCTAGAATCTACGGAGTACTCTGTACGGAGTACGGCAGATGTAGGTTAAACAGAAACTACAACGTTTTGGATTTTCCCCTCCACCTATGTTGTGCTAGCTAGGCGCCGTGTCCCACAATGGCCCATGGACAGTACTAGCGGTCTATCTTTTAATCTCGATCTGATTGGCTGTTCCATGAGATTCCAATGTTTCAACCTTGGAATCGCTTTTCCACCGTCAACAAGGACGATCCATATATAAACAATATTAAAGGGTTATACCTAAAACTCAGTAGAAGGGGAATGATCCCATTTCGATTGCAAATTACTCCGGAGTAGTATTCCGCAGAATCTTTTGAATCTTTTCCCGCTTTAAATGAGTGGCTGAAACGAGGTTGTTAATCTATCTCAGATCCGCCCGAGTAGACTAACTTTCTTAGTAGTTCCTGTGGGGAGAGGTTTGGTGTGGACTCTAGTAATTGGTTGAAAGCTACGCAGTGGATATTTTGAAACCGTTCTTGGACAAGGGGCTAGGCTGTCCCCTGGCTACGATCATAGCTACGATCTATACGCCTTTTACCTTGGGGTTTTGTTTTTCCGAGATTTTCTATCGAAACCCATGGCACTTTTAATTACCCTCCTTTGTCTCTTCTCACTAGCGTACGTACGTACTCCATAGAAGTTATAGGTCCATGGTGATCCAGGTGATAAGTAAACAAATCCAGGGGCACATATCACACATCGTACCCTTAATCTAGAAAACGAAATTGCAGGTGATGTCCCGGAGAATATTTGATTAGTCCAAAATCTCCAGCCTCGCATCTGTGAATGGTATCTAGGGCTTGGAATGTATCATAGAATGTGCCACGTTGAGGTATTTTCAAAATCTCAGGCAAAATCTCAGGTAGGAAATTCCCCAGAGAATAAGTATAGGGGAGATCCATTGAAGTTTTTCATATAGAACAATTTATGAAATAATTTACAGAGATCCAATTCATTTGGACTTCATTTAAAATTAATATCCTTCCTAAACGCACGGCCCCACCCATCTCCCGGTCTCCCCTTTCTACATTATTTACTCATTAAACCTCCCCTCCCTTCTTTCTTTTCTCCAAGCCATTCAATCCTTCCAGCCTGCATCTTATCTTTCTTTCACTCTTTGAAGAAAGAAGGTGCTTCTAGGCCTGCCATTCATTTCTCACCAACTTCCACTCCTTTGCCAACGCAGTCGATCTGCTTGAACCAATCCCGACCCTCTTAACAAAACTTCCTGGAGAAGTTTCTTTGTCTATCCCAAAATGCGTTCTGCTGTCATCCTTGCCGCCTTGGCGGTCGGCACTTTTGCCAAGGTCATTGAGAAGGAAGTTTACGTGACCGACTGGACTACCGTCATCGTCACCACAACTGTCACTCAATGGCCCACCAATGCTGCCAGCACTGCCAACACTGCTGTTGTGGTCAATCAGGACCACACCAAGCCCGCCGAGGCTGCCCATCCCACCGTCGACGTTTCCAAGAAGGCCGCTAAGGTCGATTCCGCCCCTGCCGCCGCTTCTACCACTGCTGCCGCTGAGGTTGAGGAGGCTGCTCCCAGCAGCACCACCTCGTCTTCCACTACCTCTTCGACTACTCAGGCCGAACTCAAGGCCGTGACCACCTCGGCTACCTCCTCGGCTACCACTGCCGCCGCCGCCTCCGCCACTGCCGCTCCCGGTGCTGGCAGCTCCTATCAGGAGTCTGTCCTATACTACCACAACATTCACCGCAGCGACCACTCGGTCCCCGCTTTGACCTGGTCCACCGACCTCGAGGAGGCTGCCAACACTGTTGCCTCAAGCTGCTCGTACGGACACGACACGTAAGTATACTCCTTCGTTTTGCTTGAGAAACAAATCGAACTAACGTTACCAGTTCCGTCGAGTCCGCCAGTGGCGCCTACGGCCAGAACATCGCGTACGGTTACGATAAGGCCGACGTCGGCAAGAAGATCATCAGCGACATGATGTACACCAACGAGGCACCCGAGTTCGCCGGCCTCTACGGTCAGTCTAGCCCTGATATGACCAACTTCGCCGCCTGGGGCCACTTCTCTCAGATCGTCTGGAAGAGCACCACTCAAGTCGGTTGTGCCACCGTCAGCTGCGATGATCTGGAGAACGTTGGTGGTGCCGCGCCCTACACTGTCTGCAACTACGGCTCCCCCGGTAACGTCGCCGGCGCCTATGCCGAGAACGTCCTGAAGCCCAAGAGCGCATAAACGTCTTGGGATATACGGAGCTATTGAGTTTGAAAATGTTGCACTGATATTTTCCTTAAAGTGATCTAAACCCATCGATCTCGTTCCAGACAACATGTCTTGCCCATTGGCTTTGCGCCATCTGGATTTGTTTTCTTGTCTTTTACCTTCTTCGTCATTTGCATGTCCTGCCTCAGTCGATGATCCTGCTCGGAAGCTCTTCTCGAAGGAGAGAGGCCGAGCGGGTCTTTGCCATTGTGACCCATACTGTATGTATGCAAGCGTGCTTTGTCCTTCTACTTTGGAGGACACATGGCAATGCAGATATTATTATTCTATTGTGAATATTCTTTTGACTCCTTGTTTTCCCCCACTCCTGTGTTGCGGTGCATCCTGTGGATGAACAAAATCTCTGGCGTCATTTTTTTTTCCTTTTGCGAGCGTGATGTACTGTGTACAACCCTAGCATATGTAATGAAGTTTCCCCAGCATCCACGAAGTAGCTGTAGTAGTTGTAGTGTTGTCCCTAGTGGTAATGTACGGAGTATGACGCTGTGTTCACGTGACCCAAAGCTCCCCCGCATGACCGGTCCCTTCGCCCGAAACGTCATTGGAACATGAAGGGAGAGTCTATACCGATATACTTCATTTCCAAGAATTTCTATGTCGGGTACACGGTAAACTACTTTCTCGGTTCCGCAGGGCTTCTTCTTATCTTTATTAAAGAGCTATTTGACCTTGATCTCTTAACTTCAACGGGTTTCTTCGTACATTTTTACCTCAAGCCAAGATATCCGCAACGGGGTCCATCGGTGATTGACATTAACCTTGGAAGTAAGTTCTTAGCCTAGTCTATCCCGCATACTACCCTATCATTTCCCCTTTAAATCGGCCCCCACGGGTGGATGAGGGGCATCCTTCCAAGACAAGGCCATTTCATCTCCATGAAAACCGCCGAAGGTGTGATATCTACATATTACAAACCCTTTTAAGTCTCCCATGATACTTAAAGAGACTATGTAGAAATCATGAATTGTCCACGGGGCTCTTTTCTTGGCAATTGACATCTGACAGACGGCAGAAGTGAAACTCATCCGTTTCTCCGGCGCTATCATTCCGCTCTTCCACAGTATCATCCGGTCTCACCAACCCGCATCTCGGGGTTGCATATCATTTGCATTGTCCAGTGCTCTGTAAGTCTATTGCTCGGTTTATGTCACTTTTCCATTTCCCCTTAGGCCCGAGCCGGATCCACAGCCCGTCGAGATCGCTCTATAATCCGCATGTCCATATAAGATTATCATGCTCGCTTCTTGTCTCACGCCACCTGATTTCTCTCGTATCTCTGCTTGGTCTTTATCCTGTGACTTTCGTCTATTCCCAGGCATCTTCTTTCATCCCCTTGTTCCTTGCCCATCTGTCGGCATCTGCACATGACATAGTCTCAATGCCATCATACTGCCTTCAAGATTGCCACTACTTCTATCGCACTGCCCTACGCCTCCTGTCAATCCCTACCGTCCTCGCTAGTTGTTACGCCTGATTTTATATTGTCGAGAGAACTTAAACACATCTAACATAATGTCTTACTCCTCATTGGCAGTCAGATACTTCACGGCCCCCAAACCACTCGGCGAATCCATGGACGCCGATACAAGCAAAAATTCCGGGTCCGACCCCCAAGGTCACACGGTCGTGAGACCAAATGTCTCTACTGAACGGCCATCCTCTGAGGTTGCTGAGCTTCACAAGCCTAAGAGCCAGGGCTTGACTTTTGCAAACCAGGATTCACTGCCTAAACTTCCTATTCCCGATTTGGAGGATACTTGTCGCAAGTACTTGGATACTCTGCAGGCCTTGCAAAGCCCGCGTGACCATGAAGAGACCAAGTCTGCTGTTCGCGACTTTTTAAAGAATGATGGTCCTCTTCTTCAAGAACGGCTTAAGACTTATGCTGGTTCGAAGACGAGCTATATTGAACAATTTTGTAAGTTTACTTTGGAATCAAGGTTGGGATGGGTGGAAGCTAATCATTTCTAGGGTATGATTCTTACCTGAATTTCGACAATCGTAAGTTGGCTTTCGTGTTTGGCACTTTCTTTACGGTCATCTAATATTCGCAGCTGTTGTTTTGAACCTCAATCCGTTTTTCCTTTTAGAGGACGACCCAACTCCTGCCAGAAATCACCAAGTGACTCGAGCTGCGTCACTGGTGATCTCGGCATTGGCATTTGTTCGAGCTGTGCGTCGGGAGGAGTTGCCTCCTGATACTGTGCGAGGAACGCCTCTTTGCATGTATCAGTACTCACGACTTTTTGGAACGGCACGTCTGCCTACCGATAATGGCTGTGTCATTAGCCAGGACCCCTCGGCTAAACACATGGTTGTCATGTGTCGAGGCCAGTTTTACTGGTTTGACGTCTTAGATGACAATAGCGACTTGATCATGAGTGAGAAGGATATCTCACTTAACCTGCAGGTGATCATTGAAGATGCGGCTGAAACCCCGCTTCATGAGGCTGCCAAGGGTGCTTTAGGTGTACTCAGCACCGAGAATCGGAAAGTCTGGTCGGGACTACGCGATATCATGACCAAAGATTCCAGATCTAACAACGCGGAGTGTTTGAACATAGTCGATACCGCACTTTTCGTCTTATGCTTGGACGACACAGAGCCATCCACCACATCTGAGCTTTGTGCTAACATGCTTTGTGGCACAAGTGAAGTCATCAAGGGTGTCCAGGTTGGAACCTGCACCAACCGGTGGTACGACAAGCTGCAAATCATCGTCTGCAAGAACGGCAGCGCAGGCATCAACTTCGAGCATACCGGTGTAGATGGCCACACAGTGCTACGATTCGCCAGCGACCTGTACACCGACACCATCCTCCGCTTCGCAAAGACCATCAATGGCCAATCCCCAAGCCTATGGGCAACCAGCAGCCCCGATCCAGCAAAGCGCGACCCGCACAGTTTTGGAAACGTCAGCACAACACCGCGCAAACTAGAATGGGACATGACACCCGAGCTTAACATCGCCCTCCGCTTCGCCGAATCTCACCTCTCCGACCTGCTCTACCAGCACGAATTCCAAGTCCTGGACTTCGAGGGCTTCGGCAAGAACTTCATAACCTCAATGGGCTTCTCTCCAGACGCATTTATCCAGATGGCCTTCCAGGCCGCCTACTACGGCCTCTACGGCCGACTCGAGAACACCTACGAGCCAGCCATGACAAAGATGTTCCTGCACGGACGCACAGAAGCCGTGCGCACCGTAACACCCGAATGCATGGACTTCGTCACAGCATTCTGGGGTGAGAATGCCGCCGAACAAAAAGTCGACGCCCTCCGCACCGCATGCCAAAAACACACCGCCGCTACAAAGGAATGCTCAAAGGGCCATGGCCCAGACCGCCACCTCTACGCCCTCTACTGCCTCTGGCAACGCTCCTTCGACGAAGGCCTCTTCCCAGATACCAGCTCAACAGGCGGGTACTCCAGCCCCGGCGAAACGCAATCCCCAACCCAAAGCCAGGGTCCCGAATCATCGAAACTCTCCTACTCCTCCCCTTCGGAAGACGGTCTCTCCTCACCTGGAAGTAGCGCGCGCGCCTACCGTACATCGGCACCAACGCCCGCGATCTTCGCCGACGCAGGTTGGGACAAGATCAACAACACCGTGCTGTCGACTTCGAACTGCGGAAACCCTTGTCTGCGACACTTCGGCTTCGGCCCCACATCCGCCGATGGCTTCGGTATTGGATACATTATCAAGGATGACTCGATTTCGATCTGCGCAAGCTCCAAACACAGACAGACCTCGCGGCTTATGCACACGCTTGAGTCGTATCTGTTTGAGATTCGGAAGTTGTTGCGCGCGACCAATCGTAAGCCGAGTCCGCGCACGAGTCGCGCGAGGGAGACTGAGGCTCTTGCCGAGAGTGCGCAGGCAGAGTTGCATCGCCGTGGAAGGATTGTTAGAGGTGGGGGTGCGCAGGGTGCTGATACACCTACTTCGGCGACTGATAGTAGTTATTTGGAGGATGATGGCATGGGAGGATGTAAGTCTTTCACTCTTGGTACCTTGGTTGCTGATTCTCGGGTTGCGGGTTCGCTAACTTGTTATCTTGCTAGATGGCTTCTTTGATGCTGGTATGCTTCTCCATGCGCTTAAGGGTCTCAATGCTGAACGGGAACAACGCGGCGAGAAGCCTGCTCGGAGAAGGTTTGTGGGGAAGAAGCTTCATCTTAATGACTATTGAGAAGATAGTCGTATTCAGTTAGTTTAGTAGACGAAATACGAATTTATATTTCATATGTCTGTTTCCTATGTGAAGCGAAGTATAAAAAAAGGCCCTCGGCAAATGTGGGGAAAGCTCCGACACCGGATTAGCCGACTTGGCTGAATAGCATAGCCTTCTTGACATATCTTTGAAAATATTGTATATAATTCATTCCAGCTATAGACCGTGCCAATCTGCATGTGTATTCCACCCTGAACATCATGACTCTGCACACACTGCCAAAACGGGCGCCACAGTTACGGGCTCCCCTGGCAAGGCACTTCACAACCACCCCCGCACCGCCAGTTATGCGGACACTCTACCAAACCTCAAGATTGGCGCCCATACCAGAGTATAATTCCAGGGATTTACGGGTAATTATTTCTCTTTCCAAACGGGTCTCGCAACGGAATGCCATGCAGTGCTGATCCCAGCCACAGGAAGACAAGCAACCGCCAATGTCAAGGAATCCCTTGAATGGGGCACTAAGATCGTGGGAGGCGTCAAGCCTGGCATTGAAGGCGAACATCTAGGTCTACCAGTCTTTCCATCTGTCAAAGCGGTATGAGTATTGAACCGATTGTTCGCTCATTGGGGACGTAATTTGATCAGTTGGTTAATGAGCACCTAGGCCCAAGAACGCGCAAAACCCGACGCATCTGCAATCTATGTTCCGGGAAACCAGACCGCCAAAGCCATTGAAGAGGCCATTGAAGCGGAAATCCCGCTCGTCGTGGCTGTGGCGGAGCATGTGCCGATCCACGACATCCTTCGAGTATGAGTGCTTCCTTACTCGCGGTTAATCGTACCGGGAATAGTTGAAGTGTCTTTTTTCTAACAGCATCACAGATCCACTCCATGCTCCAAACGCAATCCAAGACCCGTCTAGTAGGTGCGAACTGTCCAGGTATTATATCCGCCATCGGCAAATGCCGAATCGGCTTCCAGCCATTGCCCTGCTTCGCGCCGGGAAATGTCGGCATCGTGGCTAAATCTGGGACACTGAGCTATGAGACTGTCGCGTCGACGACTCGGGCTGGACTTGGTCAGAGTCTTTGTATCAGTATGGGCGGTGACGTTTTGGCTGGCACGAACTTTGTCGATGCGCTCACGCTCTTTGAGAATGATCCTGATACGAGGGGTATTATCCTGGTTGGTGAGATTGGGGGTACGGCGGAGATGGATGCCGCTGAGTGGATTACGGACTATCGACGAAGGACTGTTGATCCCAAGTAAGTTATTGTGTCTTAGTTTTTTAGACTCTGATGTTTCTGAGTGCAATGCTGATCTTGGATAGACCCATCATGGCTCTTGTTGGTGGATTGGAAGCACCCCTTGGGCGGATCATGGGACATGCTGGTGCATGGGCTGCTCCTGGGGAACCAGATGCGGAAACTAAGTATCAAGCGCTTGAACGTGCCGGGGCGGTTATGGTTAATCATCCCGAGAAGTTCGGTGAAGGAATGAAGACTTTGTTCGCGAACCAGTCTACCCGGCCGGGTATAAGCGTGAGTGTGTTTTTTTAAAAAATCCAATCTGAAGTGTACTGACCTACCCACAGTCAATATCCGGGGCTAGCTTACACAAACGTGGCTTTCATACTATGAGACGAGTTACGCCAATCTCGAGACCGACACCTGAACACAAGCGTAATCTTTACATCAAGCAGTTCCAGGCATTCGATATCCTCAAGCAGAAGTCTATCCCAGTCAATGAGTCGGCTTCTGGCTCTGATAGTTCTGTTTCTGTTTCTATTGCAGTCGACCGAACAGCGTTGTCGCCATGCATTACTGCCTCGCCGACTTCCGACTTTAGCCCAGCTCAGTCGCAGAAATTTCCATTCTCTTACACTCAGACCAAGCTCGAAAGCTCCACCATCGCTGCTGTTGCTTCGCATTTGGGTCTCCCAGCTTCTGCCCACAAGCAGCTTGCAGGGTTCTTACAAGCACTTTGGGAGATTTACAAGGACAAGGAGGCCTTTACGCTGGAGACGCAGATCTGCATCTCTGCCGATGGTGCTTTAGAGGTCCACGGTGCGCGCTTTGGCTTCGACGATGCTGCATTCCGCAGTTCAGGCCGACAGGAAGATATCCACAAACTTCGCAATGTATCCGAAGAAGTCCCTGAGGAGATTGAAGCCGAAAAGGACGGAATCGTCTACGTCAAGTATGTAGAAGCACCTCCATGACTCCCAAGGTTTGTCTGTATCTTCCGCTGACATAGATTAGGTTGGAAGGCGAGGGCAGTGTTGGCACACTTGGTATGTATTTTTATCTATGCCTCGTTCAAAAGAAGGTATTTGCTCACAATATCGCGTAGTCAATGGAGCCGGTCTTGCCATGAACACGGTCGACGCCCTCGCTATCCACGGTGGCCACTGCGCGAACTTCCTTGACACCGGTGGCAAGGCTACTTCGGAGACTGTCAAGGCGTCATTTCGTGTGATTTGCTCTGACACGCGCGTCAAAGCCGTCTTCGTCAATATTTTTGGTGGATTGACTCGCTGCGACATGATTGCCGAGGGTATTATCTTGGCTTTCCGAGATTTGAAGATGAAGGTTCCAGTGGTTGTGCGACTGCGAGGAACAAATGAGGAACTGGGGCAGAAGATGGTAGGCATTGATTTGGATGTTCGTTGCTATTATCTAATTGCTAACTTGAATATTCGTAGATTGCGGAGAGTGGCCTTCCTTTGCATGCATTTGATGGGTTTGAGGAGGCTGCAAAGAAGGTCATTGCGTTGGCTAAGGGTCAATAGTTACTTTACGGTGTTTCAAAGTAGATATGTGGTTATACTAGATAGAACATATCGGCATAGAACTCTATCTCAATCTCATGCAACAATTTAATGACGGTTCTAGCCACACTAGGCGACATTGGGTCTTGTGCGTTTTAGGTCTTTGGGGGTCTTGATATATCTCAATGATGTTCTAAGAAGAAACATGCTCAGGCAATCAAACAATTAAACAAAACCCCCAGCATCTATTGTCACTCTCAACGCTACATCTGGTCACTGAAATGCTTGTTTGGTCTATATACAGACATGGGCGAATGAAGATATCCTGACGAAAGAAGGTGTGATCTCCCCAGAATCAGAAAAATCCCTGGTACGTGCGTCTTTGCTCCGGCTCTAGCAAAATAGAGCCCTTCACCCCCTTCACTTCCTTCACTGGTCCGGCGTAATCCCCACGCATTTGCGGGAAGAAGTATCCAGGAGGAGTGATACATAGCGTTATCACAGCGATAGCACACATTCTAGTATCCATCAAATGTCAGCTCAGTCAAATGCATAGCTATTTTGACAAAGTTGGACTTACGTTGATTCAAGGATAGTGAAGTCAATTTCGTCCTGCATTATGGGGTTTTTCCACCCACCGGCCATCTCCGCGATACTGAAACTCCCAACATCAGTACTTGGATATCAAGATATTTTAGCAAATGACTTACCGGTAGACACAACGGACGTAAGTTGTGAAAAATGTCACAAGGATGCCCCAGAAAAATACCCAGAAACTGCGACTCTTCCAAGCTCTTCGAGCCTCAATCGTCATTCCATCTTTCGGGGCGCCTTTTATACAAAGAAGAAAGTGGCCCGACATCACCCCAAATGCCGTCAAGGTGATGACTTGCCAAACAATCCCGGCCAGCATGACATTGCTGCCTATATCATTGACATGTTGTGTTTTGCCTGCTGCTGCAAGGCCACCGCCAACCGCTTGGAGAATCAACGAAATGATATCACAGGTGACAAAGATGTAAGGATACCACTTCGCCCTTAATGTCGAGTACTGTTGGCCAAACACATTCACTCCATGCTTCAGCGTCAAGTATATGGCTGCTGACCAGAAAGCTGGTGCTATTGTCAACGTGCAAAGCTGTGTCTTAAAGCCGACGGATGAGTATGGGTTGTTGTGGAGTAATATACGACCAAAATAGCCTATTTTATGTTAGTTCTGCTGAGAAAGTGGACCAGTCATTCTCATGGAGTTGTATTTTGACTTACCCATCACCTCAGTCGAAGAGCCCAGAATCACGGCAATACTAAATGGCCATAGACGCCATTTGATCATCTGGCCAATCTGTATCATAGAACAAACACCGAATATTATACAAAATTCAACGCTGAACACAATATTAGGCGCGTAGCCATAGATAGTGCCCTCAACCGGACATTGAGGAGTCACTTCTGTGCATTTGACGGCTGCAGCACGGATTTCAACCATTATTCCATAGATATGAATATGGTCGGATGTACTCCATATCGAAGTCGCGAAGAAGCTAGTTTCTATGCTCGCTCAATATTCGCAATAAAGAAAGATATTTATAGGGCATTGTTAACCGCACGCCCCTCTTGGATCTTCGCACCCCTTTGGATCCTCGCCCCCCCCTTTGGATCTTCGCACCCCCTTTGGATCTTCGCACCTCCTTTGGATGCTCATATACCCTACCTGAAATGTTGGTACCGCCTCCCTAATTAGGTGCAATCGATCATTCTGCCATATATTCTGCCACCATGTAATTCTGGTTTACATAGTTAAAAATGCACCTTTCTTGTCAGAAGAAAATCGCTCTTTTCATTAGTTTCTGCGGCGATCTACTCTACATAATGATTATCCACCTTGTGCATCTCCCTGCGCGCGTTTTCGTCCACGGCCACGGCCCACGGTCACGTCTAGCTCTACATGTAGGGGACTCGGCGGTAAGGGACTCAGTGATTAGTACGGCGGGGGACTCGGGAAGTCGCTTTAACTCGGATTCTGGGTCAGAATACAGGTATTCCAGGCCTAAAGAGGCCATATTGATGAGAGTTTTGATAGATTGGTGCTGATATTATATTGAAGCTCAAAGTGACGAAGAAGGAAGAAGTGGTCAGAAGAAAGGTAGGTTAGTAGGCGTAAACCAGAATTAGAATATTAATTTGTTTGATCGTCTGTATGACAAAAGTGACTTAATTTTGTATGGGGCTTGCATACAAATTGTAGGTATCTGCTGCCTTACTACTATTATATTAGGGGTTTGACACGAAGGCGGTGTATTAAATTAGAAGGCGGTAAATAGGGAGAACGGTATATGTATACCTGAATTTTTTTCAGGCATTGAGCGTGCGAGTATCCAAGGGGGGGTGCGGTTAACAATTCCCTATTTATATATTTCTTTCAGAGATTCTGTTGATGTCTAGATTTCTCCGCCACGATAGATCCGTTTCATATAAAAGCCAAGGTTACAGGGTAGCCTTTATCTAATATTACTAGTCAGGTCCTAAAGCCCTAAGATTAAAGTAACTAACTACACTATTCTTTCCATACTACGTAGCTGAAATTCCTCTTCACCCTGCAACCATGTGGCCTAGGCCACTGTTAATACAATTGTAAATACTTACAAGTATATGCCAAGATATGCAGATGATCCAGTTTGACATTATGTACATACACATTTCCCTTCTTTTATAACCACTCCCAGCTAGACTAAAGTCTTTTATACCTTGGTTCAAGGGTAAAGTCTGTCAACCCCGCTAGAGCTAGCCGTTGGAGGTATACCGATACAGTTAAAAACCACACCACAGAAAGCCCAAACTTGTATAAAGTAGTCGGAACCGGAGGAGTATATATTCCAGTGCTCGGTTTGACGGCCATCTGGGTGTAGCAGGTCAACCCGAGATTTACCACCGGTGGGGTTTCTAATTCCCCAAACATCCCCACTATGTGATTCGATTGTGTAAACTCCATTGGCAAACCCGGCGATAGTTTAGCTGAACAAGCTGGCTAGGGCGACTATGGTAGCAATGGCGTACTTCATGTTGTTTGGATATGCTCTCCAATATGGAAAAGAATGGTAGTTTGGGAGAGGCTTTAGAGATCATTTTGTAGAGAATCAAAGTATCAAAATAGTTCTTTGTTTTATTGAACACTCAACTCCTGCCATATTCTTTCATGGTTGCCTAATTGATACTACAACTGTGAAGGAGATATTGATGCCTGACAATCCTCAGGCACAAAGTCCAACCAAGGTCTAGCCCTTCTCCACGATCGGCCACGCCCACTGACGCCATTAATTCTATTTCGAGATGACACAAATCTTCTTTAAAATTCTGAGTATATACTCCCACCATTAATCAACACTCTTATATATTTATTACCCTTTGCACCCAGCCTGTGCCAGTGTCATGTCTGATCCAAGCGCTGAACTTCAATCCGCTCTCCGCGGCCTATCCATAGGTGGAAAGGGCCCAGTGCAGGACGTTTCCCGACCAAACGTGAAAAAACTCTCAACAGCAGGCGTGACTCCAACCTCCAACCCCAAGATACTCCGCAAACCGGTCGCAGATTCCTGGGAAGACGAAGCAGACCTCTCCGCCCCGGAAGGCGAGGACGTCCAGCTCAATGACGAAGACACTATCCCAGTGCTCTCGCCAACCGTCAGTGCTGAAGGGCCGCTAGATCCCCCACCGACACCTATATCCCCGCAGACATCCGCTCCGTGGATGGCGAGAGCTGCTTCTCCTGCTTCGGCGCAGGGCGCTCCTACCCGTCGCCCGGAGAAGCAAACTGCTGTTGCGGAGCGGATGATTGCCGGTGCTTTGGGGATCCGCGCCCCGAAGCGGACGGAGCAGCAGCGTGCTTACGACCGCTCCGTTAAAGAGCAAGAAATTCGGAGGCGAAATCGCGAGCGCGAGGAGAAGGCTAAGGCTAAGGAAGAGGAGGAGAAGATGAAGGCTTCTATTTGGAGCAGCTAGGTGATTTTTGGAGGCATTTTGTATATTAGGCGGCTTTGGCACCATATATGTGTATATACCTGTTGAATTGGACTTGTATATATCATGTCTTCTCTCTGCATGGCTGGGCGAACTAACTGGTGGCTCTTTGTTTCGTGCGCCTTGGACTTTCCAGGCCCATTCAAAATAAGCGTGGTCCATCAATTGATCCTATTGAGGCAACTGCGGGGTTCTTTGACCCTGGAATCTATCCTGATAACTCGTTGCTAGAGGCCATTGGCGATAGGAGGAACCTAGTACACAGAACCATGTAGTATATATCGACGCGCAAACTTGCTTTTGAGACACCATAGGCCATTCAAGCAATAAACGAGACCAGCTGTTGCGACAGTTACATGTTTCCAGAAAAAGAAAGGTCCCATTAGTTTAGCACAAGTCCTAGGTTCAAATACGAAGCCTATGGCCAAAGTCAGACTATGTCTACGTGATGCAGTCGTGTTGAATTCCAGAGAAATTTAATATAGCGAAAGCACCCTCAAAGTCTGCAGAGAAGACTGGGTGGCTTTAGATAATCATCATTCATAAAAAAAGGAAAAGCAGTATGAACGCCGCCCCTTCGCCCATGGGCCGTCGATTGGGATCTTCTATCCATTGCTAGCCATCCGCCCTAGCGTATCCCCCCACATATGTCGCCCCAGCAGCCTCGGTTCTCTGGAAGTGCGACTGTAACATGCAGAGCGCGTCTAGCAGCCTCCGATCTGCTCCTGGTGAACCTCCAAGGTATCTCCATCAGCCATATCGAGCTATTTCCAGTCAGTTTCAAAGTACCTAAACACCAATGGATGGCGAAAAAGAGAGGGAAATGATCATACAGTCTCTGGCGAATCTTCAGGGCGAACTCGGGTGCCATCAAACAGGAACCGAACAGTGGAGATTTGCTTTCCTTGGCGCTCGCAGAAGGCATCCATAAGCTTCTTCAGCTGCGTTGTGCGCTTGATCTTGAAGAAAACTTCGTTGTTGTTATCGGTCACCTTAATGTTGAGGTGCTCGGTAGGAGGAGCGGCGCCTTCTTTGTCGGACATGATGATGACTTGTTGTGGTCTAGAGTTCGTTAAACGACTACTTCGCACAGAGTATGAAATGGCGACGAGGCAGAATGCTTACGGTAAATGCGAGTTCAAGACCTCTTCGAGCGGGGCTTTGAATGTCTGAAACGTTCAAAGATGGTTAGATCACGATTTTAACTCCATTTCAGGCCCTGAGGTATGAGGTACTCACCTAGAAGACGAAGACTTAGAAGCGAGAAAGCGAAGATTATGAAAACGGCGAAGTTAGAAGAGAGAGGAAGAAGAGAGATCAGCGGCGGCGGCAGAATAGCACACTCGCCCCACGGTCTGAAGGCGGAGAATCTATTTTGCGTTTTGCTCTTTCTATCACTTTCGTCACTTCCAAGGAACAGTATCTACAACATTACTTTGTACAGTCTTTGATAATTGCATTATGGTATGAAATTTGTCACTTTGAACATATTGATTAGATGCTGAGTTCCTTGTAGGGTAATTTAAAGCAAGATCTATCGCATGAGCAACCCTGCCATCCGCGTGCTGTATGTGTCCCCGTCCTAGAGCGTCCCTTTAGAGTGGTCCACTGGTGTTGCTAGCTCCTACTGACAGTGCAATAGTGCGCCATCCAAGGTATTTTCCAATTCATGGCATGTTCACACACAAAGCCTAACCGAAGCTAGATTGTTTGCAGAAAAACTCATTTGATGAGGCCAAGTGCCAGGCACAAATTGATGCTTTGTACGAATGCTGCAACGCATTCTACCAAGAGCGAGGTGACCAGGCGTCTACCGTCAGCTGCCCTAAAGCAAATTTGCTGCGGTTGAAGATGAGACAACGAGCTCAAGCAACAAAGCAGTGAGACACCTAAGCGATTACATTTTCTTTTAAATTAAAGTGACCCATGTCGAAGATGGTGGATGTCACAATTCCCTTGCGGTCTGAGTTTCCATATGGAGGAAACCAGGCTAATTGAAGAACTGCATTTATTATAAGACAATCGTGAGCACGCAGAGAGGCCTCATGGACCTGTACGAAAATTGAGTTTTCATACCGAGACTCTAATGAAAGCCTATAGACATTAGAGAAGAAAAGAAAAGAAAGAGAGAAGGGCGCGGGCGAAATTTCGTTGAAATAGCTTCTGCTATTGGCGCTAGTCTATTTCGGGGTTAGTCTGTCACGAAAACCAAAAGAGACAAACACAACTTATTCCTAGCTCTCTCTCTCTCTCTCTTCTCCAGGGTTCCCTTTCAACGAAAGTCTCCCATTATGGCGCCTTTAACTCGATCGGCCGCTGGGGCCTCCATATTTGCGCCGGTACGATCATTTCCTTTTATCTTTGCTTTTTGTCTAATCCTTTGTATAGGTTCCCCAGCCGCATAGACAAACCGAGGTCATCAGCATCGATGATGATTCGCAACAGTCTTTCGACGAGGAAGAATTGGATGATCAAATCTCGGAAGATCAATCGGAAGACCAATCGGAGGACCAATCTGAAGACCAGGATGACATGGACGAAGATATGGATGGCGACACCGTATCGGAGACCGGTTCCGATGTTTCTGACGAGCCCTCTATGCAGTCTACCTTTGGGGTTTCGAGCAAATCTCAAGGTTTGTCTCCAGATCTACTCTCCAGATCGCGTTTACTAAATTCTCTCCTAGACACCCCGCTATTCACCGCCGCAGGCGCTCAGGAAGCACTGCACCCCCTTCGTCGGACCGCTGACCGAGTCACTCGCCAGATCGAAGCATTCGCCGATAAGCTAGATCAGTTTAAGCGCAACAATTCAACCGACGATTTCAACAGCGCCCAGGCAGCTTACAAGCTCGTGCAGAGCTACCGTGACATCGCGAACAATGCGATCAAGGAAATCGAGACCCAACAAACCGTTGACCGGACAAAGACGGGCTTCCGGTCAAGCGGATCGCAAGACACTAAAAATTACGAGGAGACACGGCGGCTGCAACTTGAGGCCGATACTTGGCGCCTCCTGCTCAACCTGATCAGTATTGACGACCCCTCCAGCCGGGCCAGTTACAAAGTAGGACGACAGACAGCTTTCCAGAACCTTCACCGGTACTCAAGCGATCGCGAGATCTGGGAAGAGTTTCTCAATGCCGACCAATATGGCCTCGAATGCGTGGTTGCCATGCGATGGTTGGAGGAGACCTCCAAAACAGCAAGCCAAGAATTCGATACCCTGATTACGGAAATGGAGGGACAAGCGGAAAGAGGTCAAGGATTGTGGACAACCGGTTGGCTTTTCACCAAAGAAGCGATCAAGGGCCACAAACGTTTGCGCGCCTGGCCACAGCCTCTCGAGCCCAATGACCCGGGGATTTCGCGCTCGCTTTTAAGCAACGACGAACAGAAACCGCTAATCACTCAACTCGATCCCGATGCCATTACTCGTCAGAAGCACGGGTTACAAAGGCAGGACGAATTCCACGAGCGCGCTACATGGATAACTTGCTGGAAGATGCTCAGGCAAGGCGAGAACTGGACTAAGATTCGAGAATGGGCAGAGACCCGTCTGGAAGGATGGAGGGCTGTCAGCTTGTGTGGCTCTAGCGTGGATCCGAAGTCGGGAAGTTCTCGATACCCATCTGACGATGGCCACACACGTTTGATGAACAGCCGATCCCAGGATTCATGGCGCACCGCCTGCTCTGCGCTAACGCGCGATCCCAATACCGACGAATTCCAGCGAGCGGTATACGCCCTGCTTGCCGGTGAAACTGATGCTGCAGCCAGTGTCTGCCGCAGCTGGGACGACTTCCTTTACGTGTACTTCAACCGTGTTGTGCTCTCACGCTATCGGGGATTTTGCAAGCAATTCCAGCGGAAACTCAGCCACTCCCCCAACACCGCTGTGGCCTTCCAACCGGAACCGGCTGGGCACGCAGAACTTCAAAAGTTCCTTGTCTATCTCAAGGGCAACGACCGGGTCAGCGGCGAAGCGCGCAATCCGTTCCGCAACATCCAGGCCACGATTCTCAGCAAAGGCTACGATACCTTTTTCACTTCTCTGGCTCAAGCTGTATCTCAAGTTAGCGCCGATAAATATGGGAAGAACTCTGTCATCCCAGACATTGTGCGCAAGCCAGTAGATGAATCTTTCCTCATAGCTGCCGATGATGAAGAAGCTCTCAGAATTGCAGCTCATGTCTACGTTGTGGCCAATGCGAGGGGCTACGCGCGCGCGGATGCCCATTTCGTTGAAACAGCGTCGGTGATCGTGGCTGGACATATCGCCAACCTGGAAGATAGGGGTCTATTCCATCTTGTCCCACTTTACGTGTCTCTTCTCCCCGCAACAATGGGACACGAAGTTCTATCCAAGATTCTGATTGAAATTGTTGACCCACAAGAGAAGGTTCAGCAAGTCAAGCTCGCGCGGAAACACCAGATTGACATGGAAACTGTTCTTGATGTTCAATGGGCGTGGGTAAAGGAGAATGTCTCTGCAATTGAACACTCTAGAGGGGTCACTGGCTATTCAAGAGTGCTGCGACGACCTGACGGTTCCCGGGCATTGGTGTCACCTAAGACCGACTTGATCGGGACCTCCGTCGCTCCGGAAGACGACAAGATGATTCGCAGTGTGGAGTGGCTTCGCTACATTGATGGACAGTGGGATAAGATTTGCGATCTTGGATCCTGGCTGTATCGCAAGTTCTTCCGTATGTTTTCATTCTTCCTGTTGCTGGGAATCCGCCAAACTGACTTCTACTAGTTGCTGATAAGCTTGCCGCTGCTCGCGAGTTGAGTTTCCGTCTTCGGTTGGCTGATATCTCAATTGAAAAATTCGGATCCGATATCATTTCCATGCCTCCGCAGGAAGCGGGACATACCGAGGCAACTACGCCAACTAGCCCCACCAAGTCAAAGAGAAACAGCCTCCACCGGCGAAGTCTGTCCGGCTCCAACAATGTCGCACTGGTTTCGGCATACTATCAGGCTCACAGGGTTCTGGATCTGGAGAGTTTGGCTCTCGGGTTTGATGCCGTGGAGCAATTTGCATTGGTGCACGAGCAGATGTCCAAGTGAGTCCTCCCTTTCCCTGTTTTATCTCACGGTCCAAGCTAATCCCTTTAGGACCAAACGTCGACGTGACTCGGGCACCTTGAAGGGCATGGGTCAAGACATGAACGAATGTGTGGCTGTTTTAGAAGAATGGGTTGGGCAAGTAGTCGCTGAAGAGTGGCTACCCACATCCACCGATGGTATGTACTTGATGTCGCGGCATTGGAATCTCAATACTAATCTGTTGCTATAGCCGAGGAAGAAGAAGACTTTGAATACATTCGGACAACTTACGTTCCAGAGCTGATTCTTGATTGGCACAACGCCTTGTACTACGCCAGTCACACCCTCGAGCGGCACGATCTGTTGACATCCTGCATGATTGTGTCTATCTGGGTCGCAAACTACGATCATGTCACTCGCGCCTTTACAAAGTCACGACGTATGGCCGAGCTTGTCGATGTGCTTGCTTTGTCGAGCAAGGCTTTGGTTATCCGGGACTCCACCCAGCGCAAGTCAATGGACCACACCACCTTTGAAAGGGGCCAGGAACTGAAGATCTGGGATGTCACGATCTCCGAAGAAGAAAAGAAGAGGCTTGGGATCGTATCGGATCCAGACCGGGAGCAGTAAATCAGCGGCAATTTGTTCTGTGTACATTAGCATGGGATTTGAGTGGTTTTAAGTTTTTTAACGGCGAGGCTCTGATACGAACGAAACTGGATCAAACATGGAAGGAGGACAGGTTCATTTTACTACAGCTACATGTCAATAGGACATCTACGAATGCATCGACATCGTTTGTCAACAATATCAATTTGATTGCTGTTTTCATTACGCGTTACTCGTTTCTCATCACTTTGCCTGCTCCCAGCCACTAGTAGGTCATTAGTATCAGACTCGAAGGTTAACTCAACAGGACACTACATATATGGATGAACTGGTTACACTGAAATATAGTCAAGCGAGCACAACCACTCATATGGCGCTATCGGCGTATTGCCCGGCACATTGGCGGGGAATTCCTCGCCTAGAGGGGTGGTACGTCCCCAAGGCTTGAGTCTATTCTCGTCGTGGCTGCAAAGGCTCCAGCGCTTACGCGGGAAATGCGTCGAGGAATCCTTGATAGTATCTGCATGAACGAGATCTAGGTATGCGCCGATGTTATCTGCAAGGAAATTAGTATTTGCAGATCAGCTGATGATATTGTGCAGCGTAGGCCCAAAGTCAAAGTTTATGATAAAGGTCAAGTCTTTGAAACGCAATGGACCTAGGTATAGATAGCAAAGGAACAGTAGTCATTTGGGTATCGGTAAGATGAGCAGTTGACATAATTGCACAGATATACTATACTCCGTACAAATAGAATACCTAGACCGCGTATAGACATTAACCGATAAACATGTACATATACCAAACCTCGTCGCTAGCTGCAATAACTTTCCCACAGCAGTGATGCTACCAACGAGCGACAAATCCTGTTGAATGATCGCCTCCACGCTCTTAGCCTGTTCACGCGGGGCCATCGCCTCACCAAAGCAAGTATAGGTTCCCCGATCACGGCCAGGGACACCTACATCAGCCCCGTCTTCGTCTTGGACATAACGAGTATCATTCTGCAAGACACGCAATGCCAACACACCGCCGAAGAACTCAAAATTCAGTCTGGTGATATTAGCCTCCGTGGTCTCAATATCATGCAACAAACAAGCCAGGCAGAAAGTCTCGTCAAAGTCCCAAGCCGCAAACGGGAATCGGCACCGTTTGAACGCGAACCCGATGTGGTGGACCCGTCGTGAGTGGCTGTATGGTTCTTCGAGGAGCGTGCGTGCATAGGCGTTGATGCGCTGGGTTAGTGGGGGTTTCTAGGATCGGGGTTGGGAGGTTGGTGGGCAGGAAGGAGTGGTAGGGCTTGGGCTGGGACGGCGGTGAGGCCGTATTTGCTGGTTGGGTTGGGACATTTATGAGGCTTTCCAAGTTTTAGGGTTTGATTGGGCTCTGGGGGTTGTGGTTAGATTGGGTTAAGATAAATAATGTGTTGTATTACAATTGGTGAGGTATATATATTTGCCCTGATTTGTAAAGAATCGAGCTCAACCTACTTTAGGTGTAACAGAAGCTTTTGATACTCCAGTTTACTCCATACTCCGTCTGTAGACTAGTATGCAAGGATTAATTGAGTGTGGCTGAGCTTCTGTGGTGTGAGGTCCGCTTGGCATGAGAAATGTTCTCCGGATTCAATTGAAAAACAATTTGCTATACGCGTAAATAGGGGACGTCACCACTTTCTCACCCCGTATCAAGGCTAAATATGGAGTCATACATCTTTTAATATCTTCAAGTCAAATTATGTTCGTATTCGAGTTTTCAATGAAAAATTTTCCCCCTATTTTCCGCATCGGCATGTCGATGTCTTGGCAATGAGGCAGTGCAGGACACACTATAGAACTTGGTATTGAATGTATTGGTATTTTCCTTATTTGACTCTCATTTCCTGTAAATACAAAAAGTTTCTTGGGCAAAAAGAATGTCTACTGTGTTAGCTGGACATATATACGGAGTATGTGTAGAGAATACGTACAGTTGTAGACTGTGCACCTACAAAAAGTGGAGTTAAATCCACATGAGAGTGAGAATTAGAGGAAGTTCTCGACCATAGTGGATAGATACTTGACGTCTCCGGGCTGGGAGGCAATACATTGTCGCCAAGCTCGCCTCCTATCTTGTTTTTTACACGCCTTTCCACCCTTACCTCTTTCAACCCTAGGAGAGAGAGTTTAACACTCATGATTCTTTCTCCTTTCTCCTTATCCACTCCATGAACCCACCCACAAACCCGGGTGTGAGCGCATGAATCGCGCATTGAATAGACATTGCCACAATGTCCGACCGAAACGATGAGCCAGGTCAATCGACCCTGCGCAGAGAGCGCGCGCCGACCATTACCATCGATACCTCGGCCGTGAACTCCCCCGATCCCGAATACGCTCCTATCCAAGTCCTTTCGGGAGGATCACAGACCTACACCGATAACACACAGACTGCCGACACAAGCGCACTACTGAACAATGGCAGTGTCTCTCCCACCGATATGCGGTCCACAGCCTCGATTCGCTCCAATGCCTCCTCCGAAGCTCGTGACCAAGAGAGTCGCCCAACCTCACCCCACAACATTTCGTCACCCAAGTCGAAGGTGCCTGAGGCACATTCCAACTTCCTTTCCGTCCCCGGAGCACGCTCCCGAGGTAATTCGCTAGAGTCGGACGAGACCAGCCAAACATCAAGCACCTACGGCGGCGAGACATATGTGGCCCCAACATCCCACGAATCGAGATCGGATTTGGCCAAGAACGCCGCCATAAACGACATACACGATGAGGATGCCCTGACCCCAGATCCCGGCCATGAATCCGAGTTCGAGGTCGAGGACAACAAGTTTGCTTTCTCCCCTGGTCAGCTGAACAAGCTTCTCAATCCAAAGAGTTTTGCCGCCTTCTATGCGATGGGAGGCCTGCGAGGACTAGAAAAAGGACTCCGAACTGATGCAAAAAGTGGCTTGAGTGTTGATGAGACAACCCTTGACGGAACCGTCAGCTTTGACGATGTTGTCTCACCTGCCTCGTCTACCTCGTCAAACAATATACCCAAATCTGCCTCTCCGAAGCCATCACCACCCGCCGCCGAGAGCTCTGTCGTAACCCAGGGCGAAGAAGTCTTTGCCGACCGCAGACGTATCTACGGAGATAATAAGCTTCCAGAGAGGAAGCTGAAGACTATCTGGGAGCTTGCATGGATTGCCTACAATGACAAGGTGTTGATCTTATTGACGGTTGCGGCTGCAGTTTCACTTGCTGTGGGAATTCCGCAATCGATCCATCCAGCAAATCCTGATGAACCTGGCGTGGAATGGGTTGAAGGTCTGGCCATTCTCGTGGCCATTATTATCGTGGTTACGGTCGGCGCAGCGAATGACTGGCAAAAGGAACGACAATTCGCAAAACTCAACAAAAAGAAGGAGAATCGACAGGTCAAGGTAACGCGATCCGGCCGAATTGAAGAAATTAACATCCACGACGTCTTGGTTGGCGATTTGATGCTTTTGGAACCTGGTGATATGGTCCCAGTTGATGGGATCTTGATCGAAGGCCACGACCTCAAGTGCGATGAATCTTCGGCTACTGGCGAGTCTGACGTTCTCCGCAAAACCCCGGGCGATGAAGTGTACCGGACAATTGAGCAACACGAAGACCTGAAGAAAATGGATCCTTTCATCATTTCCGGTGCCAAGGTCTCTGAGGGCGTCGGCACCTTTTTGGTCACTGCTACCGGTATGCACGCTACCTTTGGCCGGACGATGATGTCCCTCCAAGAGGAGGGTGAGACAACACCTTTGCAAACTAAGCTCAACAAGTTGGCTGAGTACATTGCCAAGCTTGGTCTCGCTTCTGGTTTATTGCTGTTTGTGGTTCTTTTCATCAAATTTTTGGTTCGTCTTAAGGACATCGAGGGTGGTGCGGACGCCAAGGGTCAAGCATTCCTGCAGATTTTCATTGTTGCTGTTACAATTGTCGTCGTTGCAGTGCCTGAAGGCTTGCCACTGGCTGTCACGCTCGCTCTGGCCTTTGCCACAACACGAATGCTCAAAGACAACAACCTGGTCCGCTACCTCAAAGCCTGCGAGACTATGGGTAACGCCACCACGATTTGCTCCGACAAAACCGGAACCTTGACAGAGAATAAAATGACTGCCGTGGCTGCGACGTTGGGCACAACGTCTCGGTTTGGAAAGTATTCTGGTGTCTCATCCGATGATCAGAGTGAGATCACCGCCTCAGATTTTGTCTCTGCTCTATCACCTTCGGTGAAGGATGTCCTGCTCCAGTCGATTGTCTACAACTCATCCGCATTCGAAGGCGAGACGGATGGAGTTAAGACATTCGTTGGATCCAAGACAGAGACTGCCCTCTTGGCATTCGCCAGAAGTTACCTCGGAATGGGGGTCCTGAGCGAAGCGAGAGCAAATGGCAAGGTCGCCCAGATGTTCCCATTCGATTCTGGCCGCAAATGCATGGCAGTCGTAGTCCAGCTGGAGAATGGAAAATATCGAATGCTAGTCAAGGGTGCCGCGGAGATTCTAGCCGCCAAGTCGACCCGCATCGTCCGAGACCCCACTGACACTCTGTCGGAGGCTCCTGTCACCGACGAACACAGGTCTGCACTGGACAACGTCATGGTTAACTACGCCACTCGCTCCCTCCGATGTATTGCGCTGGTATACCGTGACTTCGATCAATGGCCACCTCGTGGGGCCCCTACTGCGGAAACCGATCGCAACCAGGCAGTCTTCGAACCCATCTTCAAGGACATGGCAATGTTGGGTATCTTCGGTATCCAGGACCCTGTCCGAGAAGGTGTTGCTGAGGCAGTGTACACATGCCAACGTGCGGGAGTGTTTGTCAGGATGGTGACTGGTGATAACATCATGACGGCCAAGGCTATTGCCCAGGAGTGTGGTATCTACACACCTGGCGGTATCGCGATTGAGGGACCCAAATTTCGCAAGCTGAGCACACGCCAAATGAACCAAATCATCCCCAGACTCCAGGTTATCGCCCGCTCTAGTCCCGAGGATAAGAAGATCCTAGTCAGTCAACTTAAGAAGCTTGGAGAGACTGTTGCTGTCACCGGAGATGGTACCAACGACGCCCAGGCCCTCAAGAATGCCGACGTTGGTTTCGCAATGGGTATCACTGGTACCGAAGTTGCCAAAGAAGCGTCTGACATTATTCTCATGGATGACAATTTCTCATCTATCGTTAAGGCTATGGCATGGGGTCGCACCGTCTGTGACGCCGTTAAGAAGTTCCTTCAGTTCCAAATCACCGTCAACATCACCGCTGTCATTCTCACCTTCGTCTCTGCAGTCGCTAGTGATAGTGAGGACTCCGTGCTTAGTGCAGTACAGTTGCTGTGGGTCAATCTGATCATGGACACGTTTGCCGCTCTCGCTTTGGCGACAGATCCTCCTACGCCCACGGTGCTTGACCGCAGACCCGAATCGAAGGCCGATCCGCTCATCACTCTGACAATGTGGAAGATGATCATTGGACAGTCCATCTATCAGCTGGTTGTAACTTTCGTTCTGAATTTTGCCGGATCCAAGATCTTCTCTTGGAATCACGAGCATCTGCAGACTGTGGTTTTCAACACTTTTGTCTTTATGCAAATTTTCAATCAGTACAATTCCCGTCGTATTGACAACAAGCTCAACATCTTGGAAGGCATTTGGAAGAACCGTTGGTTTATTGGTATTCAACTCATCATTGTTGGAGGTCAAATCTTGATCATCTTTGTTGGAGGCGCTGCCTTCTCCGTCAAGCGTCTTAACGAGGGCTCGCAGTGGGCCGTGAGTCTTATACTTGGAGCAATCTCCGTACCCATCGCCGTGATCATTCGTCTCATTCCGGATGAATTCTGTGCAAGACTCGTTCCCAACTTCTGGCATCGCAACAAGGGTCCCGAATTGGTCATCTCAGACGAGGACCGCAATTACGAATGGAACCCCGCTCTGGAAGAAATCCGCGATCAGCTCGCCTTCATCAAGCGTGTCCGCGGTGGCCGTCTCCACCACATCCGCCACAAGCTGCAACACCCTCAGGAACTCCTTCCTCGGTCCCGCAGTGGCTCCCGCTCGCGTGATTCCTCCTCCCCACCCACGCCAAATGGCGACAACGACAACGGCAGTCCAACCCCACAGCCACCCACCCCAGAATCTCGTTCCAGACGCAACACACGGTCCCGATCAAGCTCGACCTTCGGGCCTGCCGCTGCTATGGCAGGCGTCGTTGCCGGTAGTATTGCCGGATGGTCTCCCATTGAGCGAAACCACAACGAGGCCGACTCCATCAGCTTCCCAACCAACGGCGGCCCTCACAGCGGCCTTGATCGCGAGCAAGGCATCGAAGTGCACCCGGACACCGCTGCGGATGACCGTATCCTGAACGAGTACTCCACTACCTCCGGGTCACCCCCGAGCCAGAACCCAGATCTGATTCCGTTCTTCGAACATGCTCCACCGGTAGACCGCGCTCCTTCTAGCCGTGGTCGTCGCTCTTTGTCTCAGCGATCAAGATCGAGATCGAGTCTTAGCCATTCGCAAGTCTGAGCACATCTCCTTGTCTTTCTTATTCTCCTTTCCTCTCCCCGACTGGGGATATTTCCTTTAATCATGCCCCCCTATTCCCCCTTGACTTGACTCTACTGCTTCTATTTTCGGTGTTCTGGAAATGGGTAATTCGGCGTGACGCTGTTGAAAATTAAGCATAGACTTCTTTTGTACTTTTGGGTCCATACAATCATTTTGCATTTGGGTTTGGTGGCCTGGATGGTCTTTTTTTTTTTTTTGGATATCTCGCGGCGCATACAAGGCCACAGCGCCATTTAGCATCTTTCCTTTCTCTTTTTCTTTTTCTTTCTCTTTTTACTCTTGATTGTAAAATTCTCAAAGATTCTGATGTCACATTTTTTCTTTAGTCGTAAATTGCTCTAAACACTCTCTACAAACTTGTATTTTAGCTTCCATCTTATACTACTTACTAGCTCACTGGCTTGAATTGCTTCAGTTTTTAGTTTCTATATCAGTCACGGCGTATCCTATAGCTTACGACGATCATATACTGTGCTCTAGCTTAGAACTACTTGTAAGAAATGTTTTGGATCTAGAACACCCAAATCAACTGTCCTTTTGCAAAGGGACTCTAGCTCCAAAATGTGACTATCCTCAAGCTCCGAATCTTCATCTGTCTTAGCGTGACTACACCGATAAGGTCCTTGCTCGCTTTGGCCTTGTGAACTGTGAGGCAGCTGCTACTCCTGCTGATAAAAAGAATCCTTTAATCCCATAAGATGGAACTACTACGAAGCTTGGAATCAAAGATCAGATAAAAACCGGCACATTAGAGTGGCTTATGGTCTCAACTAGACCTGATATCTGCATATGAATTATCTTATCTCTACGCCTGTTCTTCCTAGTGGTACTACTTTTCTAATTATAAAAAATGGCGGTGGTGGGAAATAGCGTCATCTATCAGGGATATGCGAATAGCTTCATAAAATTAAGTGGCGGTGGTATCACGTGATATATTCACATATCTGAAAAGGTATGGGGGAACGGTTGGGCGGCTGGGGACTGTTTACTCGACCTTGTAATAAATAGCCTCTAATAATGATTTTAAAAGCTTAGGAAAAAAAAGAAGAAAAAAAAAGAAATGAGGCGTTAACCCCTGGCGAGGGTCGAACTCGCAACCTTACGATGACTGACCAATCAGGTAGAAGTCGTACGCGCTACCATTGCGCTACAGGGGCTTCTGTTGGTACTTTGCTTTTCAAATGCTTATATTAGTCAAAATACTCGAGTAAACAACCATTCATATTACAACGTTGTTCGCACACGGGTTATTCCATAATGATTGTGTAGTTTGCTGGAAAACAAACTCGGGCATGTATCGTCTTAGAACAAATTCCGCATTTAACTAGAATATACCAGCCCACCTGGGTAGTTATATCAAGGCGATCATCACCAGGGGCTTCAAGATCAAGCCTATATATTAGTCAACCCCAATGATAGAATGCGTCGTGGCTCACAGTCCATCCTGTGCGAGGTTGTTTTGCCGCGCCTAATTCTCTACACATTTGGCCATAGGATCTCGAATCTCCTTCGGCGACTGTTCCGTTGCGCTCTCTTGCTTTCTAGGCTCTTCAACCACTTTAGCCAAGTCCGGCCCCTCGCTCAGATTTGTTCGATGCAATTGACAACCCTAGGGGACGATTGTCGAAAACAACAAGCAGGGAGAGTTAAAGATCTCAGCATGTTTCTTGTCAGGTATCCCAACACCCCCAGGACACGTTGCAGTTGATATGTATGCTGGGCTTTGGACCTAGCATATACAGGGGCGAGAAAAGCATTTTATAGATTAATAATTAGTCAACTGTAGTGTAACCGTGCCAGGCATCCAGCGTCACACCCGCTGGTGTTGTACTGGATTTATCAAGCAGTGGTGGAATAGACTGTTTTTATATTGTATATATATATATATATATCTTAAATCTTCCCCGACGAGTTCGAGGATTGAGAAATTTGCATATTTCCTGGGAGGTGCTTAAGTATCTTTTGTATTAGTAACTCATACAAAAAGATGCATATTTATAGATTTGTGATCCAGTGGAAGATTGTGGTGCCCTGGGGTGCACCAACACCAGTGGATGTGGTGTTGGGCGCTTGGCACGGTTATAGTAAAGAAAGCAAAAAAGGAGAGGGAAAAAGAAAATGGGACAGAGCCCGGGATTGAACTGGGGGCCTCGCGCAATATTGCTTTGGGTGAACTCCTGGAAAGGCCCCCCAGAACACAGGTCCGCCGACAGAAGGTCCCGCCGACAGTAAAAAGGTGCTGTTTCCTAATTAGGACTAGCTCTACTTGGTACTATCGGTGGGACATGGTGGGACCTGTGTTCTGGCTAGAACCCACCTGAAAAGCTTGTTAGTAAATCGAGGTGGTTGCCTAGGTGACCCACCAGAGTCGCTTACTAAGCACAGATCATAACACCCGGGGATTGATGTGTCAGAGTTGGGTTATATAAGGAAAAGAGCATTCCACCAAGGCATAAAGGTATACACCTAACATCCTCTTCGACATGAGATCCAACTGGTGGTTGAAAAGCCTGGCAGATCCCGCAACTTGTAAGCGTAAATTCAATTGGAGAATCCATCATGCAATTGATAGAATCTATTCATTTAGTACACAGGAAGCTTGTACGCATCCAAATCATAACCAAAGCTATCAATAGCTTCCTGACTATAAACACATTGGAACTTCTTTCCATTCGCAGTCCAAAGTGGGCGAAGAGGCCAGCGACATATTGTTTCAACCTCACCAGACCCAGCGAGTGTTGCCGGCGCCTTGCCATTCTCAACCCAGCCAATGAGAGTCTGCAGAGTTGTCTGCGGCCATGGTGCACCGGGTTGGTACTTGTTGGTACTACAGTGTCCCACGCCTGGAATGAGAAACAGTCGATAGAAGTCATCGACAGCGGCTGCACCTGCATTATACGACTTGCCGGGGAACATGATTTCCCTGACCGAGTTCCAGTAACGGACCGAAGAAGCTGCGGGAATTGAGTCATCTTGCTCTCCGTGGACGTGGATGACTTTTCCACCGGCAGCTTGGAAGTCCGACAAGTCTGGGTATGTCGTTTGGAAGATGTCTCCGTACTTATTTTGGGAAAGTACCATCCATTCCCTAAGGGTATCGTAGGTCACGCCCTCCAAGCTGGGAATGTTGGTCTCTTGCAAAAGATCAATAAACAAGCCAATCCACATGCCACCGAGACCATTTATGTCGAGCTTCCAGCTGTCAGTGGAGGAATCATATGCATTTTGAAGATCCGCGAAAGTAGAACCAGGCTGGTAGCTGAAATAAACGCGCTTGCTGTCGGAGTCGAGAAGACCATTCCAATAGGTCTTGATGACTTCAATGGCTTTGGCAGATACATTGCCTGTCTGTGCAGGTGTGGCGCCCGCGAATGAGGAGCCACTCGCCGCAGGACACGAGTAAGAAGTGCCCAGGATGGAATCCCAGTTTAGATTCTTCAAACACAAGTCAGACCGCGATACAATGCCGTCGGTCTTGCCATCCAGGGGGTCGCAGCTTGCGACGGTCATGTTCATAATCTTCTCAAGCTCACAGCTGGGTGAGTAGTAGCCAAGCGTTTTCTGGATGACGTTTCCAGTCAAATGGTTGATTTGCTGTTGCGCCCACCGGAAGGCTGGAGCGCCGGCAACTATACCGTCGAACTGGTCGGGGAACCGTTGGACCTGACTCCATCCCTCGCGGCCTCCCTCAGAACAACCCTGGTAGTAGGAGTAGATCTTTTCGCTGGAGGGTACGTTATAAATATTTCTTGTCAGCTGTTTGCCCAACACAGCGAGCTCATGTTGGGCTTGGTAGCCTGTTTCTGATGTTAGCTGGCCCATGAGCTGTGAGTCTCGGAAATATGAAGATCTCACCAAACATGTACGTCGCTTGCCAATTGATAGTTCCATTTTCCAAGAGAGCAACGGAACTGAATTGGGTATTGAAGCTTCCAAATCCTCCATCGGTCAAACCCCCAACACTTTATACAATTTATTAGTCAAACCATTCATGCCCCGAAAAGTAAACGAGGAAATACCCACCCGCCAACAATAACACCGGTTGGGATGTACAAGGATCCTGAGTTGATAGCCCAGCCACCTCCACCCGTGGACACATATCTGTTCTTAAACTGTCCTGGAGCTGGAAGCCAGTATTGCACATGAACAATATCCCCGTCAATGCCGTCATGAGAGTAGGCAAAAGTCACATTGCAGTAATCGAAGGTTGAGGTAGGGTAGAAGACGTTGCTAGCGGTGAAATTGGTGACAAGACTCGTAGAAATTGAAGAGGGATCAACGGTAACACCATGAATGGCATTTACTGGCAACGCCTTCTTCGCATATGCGGTGGTACAGATGTCACCCAGTGAAGTTGTAGCGGCAGCTGAGGCCAGCACAAGCGTAGAAGCCCATAGAGAATGCCGCATGATGTTTTGCCTCTTTCTTAAGTATGCCAAGGGAGAGTAAAGAAACTCCGAAAGACGAAATGGACTCCTTTTATCTATAGTAGTGACAAGCGGTCTTGAATCCGGGAGAATCTCGAGTGGGCGTTGGGGGTAAATGTTATGCCGCCACTCCCCACAGACCTGTGGGGAAGTCTACTACTTATCAACTTTCCACGAATACAGATGATTCTTGAATTCTTCAAGTCTGATCTACATAACTTTATCAGAAGCTTAATGTTCCACAACTCTCCACGTCAGGGGTATCGGATCAGATGGCTTCCGAGGTGTGTAGGTCAGTCCACTTACAACACGTCCTAGTGCTTATATGAGATAAGAAGGGGTGACGTCTGAACCTTTGCTGGAGGGTTGTGTTTAGAGATGATAGAGAGGCATATAGGTGGTTTTATCTGGTCACGGTCGATTGCTTTGGGTTGATGACTGGTAGATCACAATCCCTTTTGCGAAGGTGGATGTTCATTTGCTCGTTCTTCAATTAAATACTAGTTATCGCAGTGCATAGATATCATTATGGCAGGTATGCACTTTGACGATACTAGTTCATAACGGAAGATATCCGAGATTGCAGGCGTACTTTACCAGGCCCTCATACCACACCCTCTCGCCCGAACCCAAACATCCACAACCCGAGTAGCCTCGCTGTCTTGATCCGAATCGACAATGAAATACCACCCATAAAAGGCGCCGGTAACGCAGGCATGATTCGGGTGCACTTTAACCACCTGTCCTATGTGCAGGGGAATCTTCGTCTGGGACTCATTCTCCCAAGTCACAATTGCGTGCTCCTGGCTGATCCTCTCAACAACCAGTCTCTCCGATGAGGTTTTGTCAGCCCCATCCATTTGCCAGGAAGAAACAACCCCCCAGCCCGAATAACTCGGACACGGTTCCCGGCCGAGTGCGAGCGTCCCTGCAGCGAGGAGCGCTTCGGGCCTTTCACGCTCACCATCGTTATAGACGCTGCACACTTCGGCCAGCACCGAAATGGCAATTTCATCATCCAAAACCCCAGAATGAGGACTAGCATGTGTGGATAATTGCTGCATATCCAGGATGGGATAGACGCCAGCGTGCAGCTCGACATTCGTCTCGCGAAGTAAAGCCTTGAGCTCCCGTGATTCCACACATGGAGAGTCAGCACGCAGCAAGTTTTGCGATGAGACTACCTGCGGTGTAGCACCGACACTGATGACAAGTTCCCTTTGGGGCAGTAGATGCAAGTTTCTCTCCAAGGCATCTTTACATCCGCGGATCTCACTGATCAAATGGCCCATCGCTTGCTCTGGGGTTGTCCCGCTATAGCTCAAACTGCTGTGCGAATACAAACCGAGGAGTCTTGCCCCACCTGCCTCCTCGGCGGAGGCAAGTTTCTCAAGCAATCCGTTCTTGTTGAGGGATACGGGCGGTAAGCCGGCGCGGTGGTAGCCCGTGTCAACTTTGACAAAGACACAGGCTGGGTGTCCTGCTAGAGAAGATAGTTTCTCCAGGTAGGGGAGTTGGTCTGGGTGGTCGATCATCACAGTGATGCTGTTCTCGCCTAGCTCGCGGGCTGCCTTGGCTAGCAGTGGAACCTGTGATGGGACGAGGGGGATGCCGTAGAGAATATTAATTTTGCGACCTGTTTGTTTCAGATCCTGTAGTAGGGGGATCATCATCTCGACCTCCAGGACTGTGGAGGCTATGAAATTCGCCTTGGTGATGTCGCCGACTTGGAGCTTGGCGATCTCGGGTGTCTGGTGTTCATAATTTGAGCGTAATTGCAAAGGGAATGTAGTGTTTGGAGTCCACTTGTCTTCTTACCTTGTGGGACTTAACATGAACTCTGAATCCGACATCAAGTGTTTTGATTGTGTGTAGCATTGTCTCGCAGTGTCGTCGGATGATTGCTACGTCAAGAACGGCGGCTGGTTTGGGTACATCGCTGATGTCTTTGCCGATGTAGAACTTCTGTAGGTCTTTCTGAGAGGGGTTTATGGAGGCCATTTTATAATATGTAGCAGGTCACTGGGAAATGTGAGATGAAAGTTGGATATTTGTATTCTCGTTCTCATATGTGGGGCGGAGGATGTCAAGTCCGACTTCGCCGTTTACCGACGCTTGTCCTCATATATCCCCGTCCCTTGGAGATTCTCTGTCTGATTGGATGCCTCCAGTTCCCCAAGTCCAGCTGGTATAGCCTCGGTCTTAAGTTTGACCACGGTTGTCAGCTTCTTCTTGGTTCGGAACTTCCGCGTCTAAAGCATAATTATCAGAGACAAAGGCTGTAGTGTCAGTTGGGCGGACTGAAGACATGATACCTGCAATTCGCACAATGAAAAACTGGGACGCAGCCACAGGTAGAACACTGTGGCGAACAGAGCTAGTCACAAACCCATTCCGGAGCACGTATTCGATGCTCGATTCCCGTATCAGATGAGAGTTTTGCATCGCCGCCAAGGCTGCGAGCCACTGGTTGTAGGTACGAACAATGCCTACCTCGGGCTGTAGGTCTTGGACATTGCTTGTGTCACGCAAAGTAGGGTCCAAAGGCACACGTCGGTATAGGGAGGGCACATGGAATTGGATCTCATCCAATTCTGGGTCGTATTGAAGGAGGGCTTCTAGGTCGGTAAGGAAAGCAGGGTAGTCCATGGCGACGGCCTCATTGGCTCCATTTAGAACGAAGTAGGTGCTAACCCAGAAGAGAGCGGTGTCGTTATTGTTCGCAGGTCGGCGCACAACGATCATCCCATCACGGACTCTGGGCCGAAAGATGGACGGCAGGGAATCGCAAAGTGGGTCGTCGGATGCCATTGTAAGCTCGGGTATCGATGAGGATATTGTGAGGTTGATGGAAGTCTGACTCAAGAAGGGCCAGGCAGGGTGAGCAAGCAGGTAAAGCTCGGATTGGGGAATAGTCAAACAAACCAGGATGAGAACCATGGGCGTCAAATTACGAGTCGAACACATCTGGCACATTTGGTAGAGCTTCCTGAATGTTATGAGGAAGACATAAGGTTAATCAACCCTTGATTTGGATTTCATGGTTTCGAAATAACTAGATATTTCCCCCCTTAACTTTGTCTTCGTCGTGGCATCCATCAGAGCCCCCGGGTTCGATTTCGCTGGCACCAGTGCAAGGTTCGTCATGCCACAATTCTTCTCCCACCGCATGTAGCCACGAAGAACGCAATTTCATCACTTGCTGATATTTTTGAAATGGAATTTCCGTCGTGCAACGATCTCTCCGCCCCCATTCAGGCTCACTGATCGTTGTTTTGAGAATCTGCATCGAGTCAATAGTTAGCTGGCACGTTCTTCAATGGAAGCTGAGAGGAGTCAATTACTTTTTTTTACACGATAGCGAAGTGTGCAGTCATAATTGGAGAAGTATCAGCGGAGGTAGGGCGAGAACCAAAGCTGGTCTGGCCCGACGAAGCATGTTGCATAGCCAGAAGAGCGGCTATCCACGTATTATAGCTTCGAACAGCAAAGACAAGAAACTCACCCGGGTTTGAACGCGACTGGGAAGGGGTACTGTGCCCCCAACGGATCTCATCATGGGAGTCGTAGCCGAGGTGATCATACAGATCTTGTTCAAGTTCGTCATAATCCAGCATGGTTGGGTCAAAGGTTCCATCTGGATTGATCTAGGGCTCACTATCTAGCCTTCAAGCCAGGGGATAGCTGACTCGGCACTTGCGCGACGGGTCACTTCAATAAGACAGTCGTGCGATCTGAGCTCTCGCAGATGGTTGCGCGGCGGGGTGGAGTCCTTTGCACTATCCATGTCGAGTGATGGGCCAAAGGAAGAGTTGATCAAAGTCTAGAACGTAGAAACTATAAACTAGAAGAGCCATACGGATAGCTGTAACTCTCAGCTCTAACATTTGGTTGGAAGTTCCAAGCTCAAATACACCCATAATAGCAGCTCAGATTGTAAAGCCCTTGGTAGACAGCCGCTGTATAATATGCTATAGTGCATGTATACTGGGGATCACGCACCGGAGTATCAACAAAACCTAATCTCATGAAAACTGAACCCATTTTTAACGACCATCATTTTCCTATCACATTTCGTTGACGCCTACAGTTTAGGACAAGCTAGCAGAGGTCGCCTGCACAGATCCGCATCACGGATTCCGGCTTGTGGGTCAGAAGAGATGGAAGGAAAGCTTGGCTGAATTTGTAGGAAATGATCTGAGCTAAAGGCTCGAGCTATGTAATATCACATAATTCGGGATTCTTCGTACAAGCCTGCCGAGACGAGCACAGAAGACAACAAAAATCGGGATGAAGGGGGATTTGTTCCGGCAAAGAGCATGTAACACTAATCAAGCCTTCATGGTACCCCCTGTACAATGTACCAATCAACTCGTGCCCGAATAGGCTATACAGCGATGCCGAGGACAACCGAACCTCGAGAAACTCTCTATATATAGTAAACTAGCCATATTATAAATGGCCTAATGAGAGTAATCGTTGATTAGAGTTATTTAAAAGCACCCCTTTCCTTAGACCTGCTTACCCCAGAGCTAGAGCGAATCATCACAAAAATACCCGGGGAAGTATTCGTCCCGCATCAATCACAGGAGACTAGAATACATTTCTCGTGGAATTTACTCAATGGAGCTTCGGCGGATCATCATCCTCCTTCCTAAAATATGAGCATCGTATAGGATCGTGAGCTAATACATACTCCTTGCATCTATAGCATTCCAGAGCATGCATATTCGGAGCTTTCCAGTATGCCACTTACCCCATACGGAAATGTATCGCGGATCACAGGGATCGGCGGACTTTTATCTTTCAAGCTGTGGCTGTCATGGGCTTATCCCTTCCCTTGGTGGTATCATGAGGTGGTTACAGACCCACCGAATATGTGTGTGGGTGGGTGTCGTGGTGGACGGGTCAATATTGCACGATGAAGCTCCTCCCCCTACTTGTGTACTGGGATAAAGATTGGGCTCTCTTTTCTTTCCACGAGAGAATTGATGATCTACAACATGCAGGGCTTGTTCCTTCACAGCTGTATTCCAGTGTTACGATTCCAGTGCTCATCATTGGACGCCGTCCGCGAGCTGCTCGGGTGGTGCCTTGATTGCTGAGGAATGCGCCTGTATCCAGTCTCCCCTGGGGCCGTTACACCGTCTCACTGGGTAGACAGGTGATGTCAGGGTTCAGCGGCCTAACAATGGTGCACTGGCCCTGAGTGCTTTTTCCCTTATATCTATCATACCATAACTCCTCCTGTCCGTCATGTTTTATACGATTGCCTCATTTCGCTCTCCTTTTGTAACTGTTGTATAACTGCGGATCTGCAACATCCAAGCTATACGCAAGGCTCCTCGACATTTGTCTATTGGTGGAATCGGATTGAAAGCTTCTGTTCACGGACAGCTTAATCCCGCATACTCCACTCAAACGTCATCCAAGATACCTGAGAATGAAGCCTGAAGATGTCGAAAAAGCCCATTGCTCCCCTACTATTGAGAGTTTGAGTCAGTTTCACCTCGACAAAAGCGCCTCTAATAGCTCCTCCAACGATACAGACCTCGCAAAGCCTGACCCCGCGCCGCAGACAAGATGTCAACGATGGATTGCAAACTTGAAAAATGTGGAAAGCCGCGGCATCGAGCCCATTGCTATCGAAAATCGAGACCCAATAACACCTTCAACGATACTTCATATGCTGCTAATGTGGTTTAGCATGACATTGGCTACAAATAACATCATTGTTGGATCAATGGGTACACTCGTGTTGGGCCTCAGCTTCAGGGATGCAGCCATCTGTGCTGTATTTGGATGTTTAGCTGGCAACTGCACCGTTGGATTTATAAGTATATGGGGACCGAGAAGCGGAAACCGAACTTTGGTATGTGGGTATCGAAACATCGGTGATTTTTGCAGGGGAGGAAGATACTATTCAGGGAACGAACGAATGCTCATAACTTTGATAGATCGTGGCCCGATATTTCATGGGCTATTATCCTAGCAAAGCTTGCATTATCCTGAACCTCTTCACCAATATTGGGTATAGCATGGTAAACAGCGTCGTCGGTGGCCAGATTTTGTCTGTGGTCTCTGGTGGCCATCTTTCCGTGATAGTCGGCATTATCATTGTCGCCGTTGCCAGCTGGGCTATGGCCATCTTTGGCATGAAAATCTTCCAATTATATGAGCGGTAAGCATCACCAGCCCGGAACACCTTGAATGCAATTTCTAATTGATATCAGAGTTGCCTGGTTGCCACAGCTACTGGTGATATGCGTGATGGTTGGTTCCGCAGGGCCTCATTTCGACTTCAACATCCAGACCCCAATGTCGCCAGAGGACTTAGTTGCCAAAAGACTCACTTTTTTCTCCCTGGGATTGTCTATTGCCCTCGCCTGGGCCCCGCTCGCCGCCGATTACTATGTCTATCTCCCACCGCAGATGAAGAGCTCTCGGACATTCCTGGTCACCGTCTTCGCCGCCACGAGTGGTATGTCAGTTGTCCTCCTTATGGGGATCGGTCTTGGAACCGTCATCGCCAGCTCGGCACATCACGCGACCAACACCACTCCCGGAGGCGTGCTGATGACCGCATATGATGGTCTAGGGGGTTTTGGGAAATTCTGTGCGGTTATCAATGTCCTAGCTCTGGTCGCTAATAACACTCCCGGGGCGTACTCGATGGGAATGAATTTCCAGATGGTTGGCGGGATGTTTGGAAAGGTTCCCCGACCGGTCTTCACAACTCTCGCTACGGTTATCTATGCCGCGTGTGCGATGGGAGGCCGGGACCGGCTGTACGAGGTCTTCAAGTCGTTCCTGCCATTGATCGGATACTGGGTTATGATGTTCGTTGTGATTGTATTCGAAGAGCACACGATTTTCCGCCGGAATAGAGGCTATGACTGGTCTCAATGGAACTGCCGCGATAAGCTGCCTTTGGGGATTGCAGCAGCAGTTGCTTTCCTTATTGGCTGGGCTGGTGCAATTGTCGGCATGGTAAGACTTTTAGACTCAAAGTCCAATCGCGTCTTACTAATACTTCGATTTAGTCACAAGGGTATTATATCGGCCCCATCGCGCAGATGGCCGGGGGAGCTGATCTGGGTCTCTGGTTGGGTGCGGGCTTCACTGCGATGTTTTTCCCACCGTTACGGGCATTGGAGCTCAAGTTTATTGGTCGCTAGTGGTGTGCCACTTACGCGTTGGCATAATCAGCAAGTGTGGAAGCAGAACATTTTATCTCCCCTCAACATAAACTAGAGAGTATATACTAGCGTGGGATGGTGGCTGAACCTATAATCAAATTAATTTAGTTTTAAATGCAACGTTATATTATGATTCGTCGGTTCAATAATAAAGGGCTTACGAGGCCAGGGATGTGTCATAACTCCCAAATCTATTGGTAGAGTGTGCAGACATTCTCATGTCCCCGAGGCTCGGTATTTCGGAGTACCCCGGTCCCAGCTCAGGTCTCAACCCTTTTTGTTGCCTGAATGCCTTGCCCCGCGTTTAAAATCCAATTATCTAAGAATTGCCATTAGTTATAGTTAGATCTACGAGTAAATTGATAGATTGTATAAGTTAATAGAAGCGCATAATCACATGCATTATGAGTTCAACCTTGTGGATCACATTCTTATTTAAACCCTGTGGATTCCCCCCTTTAAACTCACATCAAGATGAATTTCACCGACACTTGGTCACTACCTGTAGGGGGCATACTCCCCTACACTGTCGGCCTCCTCGTCGCCTGGCCAGTAGTAACCATAACCTTACGGTTCCAGCGCCTGCGCAACCTCTACAAGCAATATGACTACCCAACACGTGAATCGATGTCCAAAATGACCGACGAAGAAGCCTTCCAAATCCAAAAACAAGTCGCGCAACTAGAATTCCCCTTCATGTTCATCAAGAGCTTACAATTCGCCTTGTTCCGGGTATGAAAGAACACCCACACAGGCTCAGATCCTACCGATCTATATACAGTTTCTAACCCTATAATTCAACCCCAGACCTACGGCATCCCCTCTATATCCACCCTCCTCGCAAAAACAAGCGAATTCTCCGACCCGCAAACCTCCCTGAAGCGGTATACAGATACCAGCGTCCTCGTACAGGAAATGGTTGGCAACAACCCAGCTTCCGAACGCTCATACCTCGGTCTCGCCCGCACGCGCTACCTGCACAGTGGGTACAGGGCCTCCGGTAAAATCCTCGATGACGATATGCTGTTTACCCTAGCGCTGTTTGCGCTCGAGCCGATTCGGTTCATCAATCGATATGAGTGGCGCCAGCTGAGTGATCTAGAGCGCTGTGCTATCGGGACTTTTTGGAAGAGTGCGGGTGATGCCCTTGATATTAGCTACGAGAAGTTGCCGTCTGGTAAGACTGGGTTCCGGGATGGGATTCAGTGGCTCGAGGAGATCGATGCTTGGAGTGAGGAGTATGAGGCGAATTGCATGGTACCCCATGCTAAGAATCGTGAGGTAGCGGATGGGACTACTCCTGTGCTGCTTTACATGCTGCCTACGATGTTCCATCCGTTTGGGTTGCAGTTTGTTTCGTTTATGATGGATGATAGGCTTAGGAAGGCGATGCTGTAAGTTGCAACGCGCTACGCATTAAACCAATCGTCAACACACACTAACTCACTAAACAGTTACGACGCACCCCCCGCATTCTCCGCAGCACTCTTCTCGGTGGTTCTCACGACCCGCAGGCTATTCCTCCGCTACCTATCTCTGCCACGACCGTACTTCATGCGCTACGCCTCGTTCACCGAGGAGCCGGATCAAAATAACCGCTTCTTCCTCAAAAAGTGGGACGCCGCGCCGTATTATGTCAAGCCCACGTTTTGGAACCGTTGGGGCCCGACGGCATGGTTGACTTGGGCTCTAGGGAAGCCTGTGCCTGGTGAGGAGGGGGATAAGTATTATCCCACTGGATATAACATTCCGGATGTTGGACCGAAGTATTTCGAGGGCAAAGGGAGGAAGCAGTTGGATGAAACTCTGTTGGAGTTCAAGGGGTATCGGACTGGGAAATGTCCTTTTCATTGAGCCGTAGAAAGGCGAGGGATTGGGTCCGATGAGATGGGGGACGGGGACCGTATCGTTATTTGATGCAATGGGAAAGTTATCCTGTCATCCTACGTGAGATTGTCATGACCTTTAAGCATTTGAAGCCATAAGTCAAGGGCACTGGCCCATATAAACCTGCGGTAGCACCTTGACATTCAATACTACAATTAACACAATTTAAAAGGCCATGATAAGTCATTTCGTCACTTGCTTTTCCACTATGTGCTAATCTGGAGGGGTTCGAACAAATCACCCCAAGCCGAGCAGGAAAATAGACAAAAAAGGGTGTAAATTAGGAGCGCTCAAACAAATTGGGTTCGGGGGCCTGCGCCCGCAAAGCCGGTCCGAATAGTAGAGAATGTAGGCTTGACAAGGGTATTACTTTGAACAAATCTCAAAGGAGATTTATTTAAACCTCCTCATCAACAATGTCCTCAGCGAGGCTAAAAATAGGGAGAAAATTCGTTAGTCGTATTCGAAGGCCGGGTGGTGCTGGGGGATCCTTACTACTCCTCCTCTCCCTCGGAGATGGAGGCCTCCTGGTACTGCTGGTACTCGGAGACAAGATCGTTCATGTTGCTCTCAGCCTCAGTGAACTCCATCTCGTCCATACCCTCACCAGTGTACCAATGCAAGAAAGCCTTGCGACGGAACATGGCAGTGAACTGATCACCGACACGCTTGAAGAGCTCCTGGATGGAGGTGGAGTTACCAACGAAGGTGGAAGACATCTTGAGGCCACGGGGGGGAACGGAGCACAGAGCGGTCTGGACGTTGTTGGGGATCCACTCAACGAAGTAGCTCTGGTTCTTGTTCTGGATGTTGCGCATCTGGTCCTCAACTTCCTTCATGGAGATCTTACCGCGGAACAAAGCGGAGCAAGTGAGGTAACGGCCGTTACGGAAGTCGGAAGCAGCCATCATGTTCTTGGGGTCGAACATCTGCTGGGTCAACTCGGGAACGCTGACCTGGCGGTAAGACTGGCCGCCACGGCTGGTCAGGGGAGCAAAGCCGACCATGAAGAAGTGCAGACGAGGGAAGGGAACCATGTTGACGGCGAGCTTGCGGAGATCGGAGTTGAGCTGACCGGGGAAACGGAGGGAGGTGGTCACACCAGACATGACGGCGGAGACGAGGTGGTTGAGGTCACCGTAGGAGGGCTGGGAGAGCTTGAGGGTACGCATGCAGATATCGTAGAGAGCCTAGTAATTGTCAGTATTCTTCGTGTCAGTCTTCTCCCACGCGTTTTCATACCTCGTTATCGATACAGAAAGTCTCGTCGGAGTGCTCAACAAGCTGGTGAACGGAGAGGGTGGCGTTGTAAGGCTCAACAACGGTGTCGGAGACCTTGGGGGAGGGGACGACGGAGAAGGTGGCCATCATACGGTCGGGGAACTCCTCACGGATCTTGGAGATCAAGAGTGTACCCATACCGGCACCGGTACCACCACCCAGGGAGTGGGTGATCTGGAAACCCTGCAGGCAGTCGCAACCCTCGGCCTCGCGACGGACGACATCGAGGACCTGATCAACAAGCTCGGCACCCTCAGTGTAGTGACCCTTAGCCCAGTTGTTACCGGCACCGGACTGACCGAAGACGAAGTTGTCGGGGCGGAAAAGCTTGCCGAAGGGACCGGAGCGGACAGCGTCCATAGTACCGGGCTCCAAATCGACCAGAACGGCACGGGGAACGTACTTGTCACCGCTAGCCTAGATTACCGAAGAAAAAGATGCGATCAGATGATGCACGATTATTTGGTTCCCACTCGTTGTACTCACATGGTTGAAGTAGACGTTCATACGCTCGAGCTGGAGGTCGGAGGTACCATTGTACCTAACAAGACATCAGTGGTGTGATCCACTAGGGAAAACCATCACGGCTAACTTACCGTCCATCGCCATCGAGACCGTGCTCGCCAGAAATGGTTTGCCTGTAATCCAATTAGCAACCTGTCAATTGATACCCAACGCGGGAAAAAAAAAGCTCGGCACGTACCAGAAAGCGGCACCAATTTGGTTACCCTATATAACCCAATTCCAATTTAGTCCCACGAATCGAAGAATCCAAGAATGTTCCGTGTCGAACTTACACATTGGCCGGTTTGGAGGTGAACCTAGAGATGGTTAGCAAAAGATTCCTGTTTAGAGTGGGGTCATGGTTCAGGGGCCGTATGAAAACAAAAGACGCGTCTGGAGGGGGATAACGTACAATCTCACGCATTTTGAAGGTATTAGAAAGAGATGGAGAAAAAAAGGAGAACCGGTGACAAAGTCAGGGAGGATGGGGAAGAAGAGAAAGGCGAGAGGGCCAGTTGAGCGGTGTGTGTGGGATCAACAAGTCAACAGTTGAACTTCAGGGGGAGAGGCCCAATTGGGTATAGCCGCATCACGGGACTCGGGGAGGTGCGAACCACATTTACGTTTCTTTGGCGCGTGATATCGTACTACTACTACTACTACTACTACTACTACTATGTACAGCTATAACTACAATATGATATTTCAATCATTTCAATTGGAAAACTAATCATACATGTTGGGTATTCGTTCAATTAGGTGCTTTCCATTCAAATAGAAGTACTCGCCTTTTAGTAGCTCTCGCCGTTTGAGATTCGTTCAGTTAATACATGGTTCCCACCGTTTTGGATTCGTTCGGTGGGCTGCTCTCGCCGTTTTAGATCCGTTGACTTATGATCTCGGTGTTTTAGGTTCACTTGGACTAGTTCTTGCCAGTTTCCTGGCTCTTGTCGGTCTCGTCCTTGTCGGCGTTGTCCTTGTTGGTGTCGTCCTCGTCGGTCTTGCCTTCTTCCTTCTTGTCTTTCTCGGTTTTGGTCTTGTCGGTCTGGTTCTCAGCGCTTTCTAGCCAATCTCCGTACCGCTCAAGGCGCTCATTCTCCTCATTATCGGCATCCAGAGGGTCCACCATCTTGCCCTCTGTGTCTCGTCGGGGGTGGTACTTATTGAATTTCTCTTCACCATCCCAGATGTAAGCAACAACAGTATTGCCTGCAAAGAAGCGCCCGTTCATGGTCTAAATAATCATCAGTAGCTGTCATCATGGATTTGAACCGTGGGGCCTACCTGAACACAGCGACGTGCATCTGCTGATGACACAAATCGGACAGTGACAACACCTTCGCTCTCTCCGTCCCAGACTACCACTTTGGTCACCTCGCCAATCTTAGAGCACTCGCCGCGGATGTCCTGTTGAATCTCAATACTGGCGAGCGGATCGTCCTGTAAGTACACGTCAGCCGTTTGTCCATATTCGCATAAGGCAACCTCGGAGGAGGTGGGGCGTGTCAAACCTCCAGTTCCTTCAGTGTAAACATGGGTTTCAAAACCACATGTCTCCTCGCCTCCTCAGCGGCCTTCATCGCCTTCATGGTCTCCTCAGCTTCATCATCTCCCCAGTCGGAAAGTTTCCTATCACAATTGGGTTAGCAAGAAACACTCCGCCGCCACGATCAACAAACGCACTTATTCAATCGCTCTGCTCGCTCCTTAAGCTTCTTCTTTTCCTTCATGCTCATGGTAACTTTCGGTTGCACATCTTGTTCACGCTTGTACGAAAAGTCGGCCGCCTGAACACGCATCGGTCCAGATGGGTTGTGGGAACCCATTCGGAAGTCTGTCTCATCGAGACACTGAATCGCGAGGTTGACTGACTCCGGCCGGAAGTACACGATCAAAGCCTCGCCATTGAAGTTGCCATTCTCGTCGGTGTACATTTTAATTCGCGGCTTTCCAGTGTCAAGTTCCTCCGCAAGGATTCCATATTTCACAAACAATTCTTGGATTTCCGATAGCTCGGCGTCGGTGGGGATCTTGGTAACCCACACAGCGGTATTCACACGAGGCTTCTTGACTTTGGGCTCATCGGTCTAGCAAGCGAAAGAAGAGAAGACAGTCAATTATCAATGTCATCAAGCTCCCACAAATGACCACCGGAACACTTACCTCGTCATGCGAGCTCTTTCGCTTCTTACGATCGCGTGGATGAACGATCTCAGTCTCACCGTCGTCGGACCCGTACCCTTGCTGCTTGCGGATGAGCGCCTCGTCGATCTAGAGTTGGAAGTCAGGTTAGCACCGGGCACTGTCGGCTTGTGTGTGAACAGCCCATCGCAAAGCGCAAGCGTGTCAGTGCATGTCACGTACCGTTTCGACCCATCTCTTCAGAATATTGTTGAATAGGAACTCGCGACCATCGCTTGTCTCGAGCAAGAAGCTGTTGTCTAGCTTAGAGAATGAGATGCGCGGGTCGTTATCAAACTCCGCCACGTCGGTCGGAAAGTCCATTTTGACAAAACAACTGTCGGACAAATTGCTTGAAAGACAGATCAGATGGATTAAACAAGGAGAGGTTATGTCCAGAGTGTTGTGAGAACTGTGAGGACCGTGGATGGTTTGCGATGATTGGGAAGCAATGCGGTCGCGATCTCTCGGCGCGGCGTTCCGGAAGGTGCTCGCCGGTGGATCCCGCATTCCAGCCCTGGAGAGTTCAGGATTCAAGGCTTCTTATATTGGCAGTGCTGCTAGAGAATATCGGCATTTCTACTCATTACTCCTCCGGCTACTCCTCAGTTTGCCTCTGATCGTCTCTAAGATTGCTTGTTGTACTACTATGTACATTGTCACCGTTTGCCTTGCGCTCTAGTAATCAACTTTATCAACTTAGTTTTTTTTCCCCGGAATAGTGTCATAAAATTTGATATTTGGGTATCTGAATGGTATCAAAGTGAAAATTGAAATCTCCGGAGAGCATCCCGAATACCAACAGTTCTATACTATAGGTACTCAGGACACTTGCCATCGCTAACAAAAGAAAAGAAAGTGAAAAGAAGGAAGGCATTTGCCTAATATTAAATATTAAAGAAAGAGCCGAAGTCAGATCATGTCTGATCTAAGCCTTGGTGTCAATAACCTCGCCGACGGGAGTGATAGTGCGCTTAGAGGCAGTCTCTGAGCTTTCCACGCCGTTGACAACATCACGGGTGACCTCAACGTAATCATACTAGAAAATAAAATGTTAGACAATGTCTCTTGGACGTATTGAGGGCAATAAGACTTACAGCAAACTCGCCAATTTCGGCGTCGTCAATACCCATGATCTCATCTTCCTCGGGTGCGCGCAAGCTGAGACCGGGAATGAGGTTCATGAGGAAGAGAATGAGACATGTGCCGAAGAAGGCGTATGCCATTCCAGTGACCGAGTCAGCAAGCTGGTATCCCAGCTGGACGAAGTTCCTGTTAATCCAGCCGCCACCGATCTTAGTGGCACCGTCCAGGTGTGCTATGTAATCACTATCAATGAAAGTTAGTATATCGGACAATATTATCAGGAACTAGGTTGACTTACGCAGCGAAGATTCCAGTCAAAAGGTTTCCAACGACACCACCGACACCGTGGACGGCAAAGATGTCGAGAGCATCATCAACACCAAGAAGGAACTTGAGCTTAGTAGCATAATTGCATGCAACAGCACCAACCACACCAAAGATGAATGCAGCCCAGGGAGTGACGAATCCAGAGCCGGGAGTAATGGCAACAAGGCCAGCAATAACGCCAGAACAGAAACCGACGGCGGACCACTTGCGCTCCAGTCTGTAATCCATCAAACACCAGGTCACACCTCCAACGGAGGCAGCGAGGTTAGTGACAACGGCAGCCATGACTGCACGAAGGTTGGCAGATAGAGCAGAGCCAGCGTTGAATCCAAACCAGCCAACCCAGAGGAACACGGTGCCGATGACAACGTGGGTCACATTGTGAGGGCGGTAGTTAAGCTCGTGGGTGCCGTGGCCGCGACGCTTGCCCAACATCAGAGAGTAGGCGAGGGCAGCAGACCCGGAAGCAATGTGGACCGGAGTACCACCCGCAAAGTCGAGACCTCCGAGCTTGAAAACCCAGCCGGATGCGTTCCATGTCCAGCAGGCGATGGGGTCGTAGATAATAGTGGTCCAGATGAACATGAAGACAATGCAGGGAAGCATGCGACCACGCTCAGCAACTGCACCGACGGCGAGAGCAACACTAATAGCGGAGGAAAGGTTAATTGATGTTTTGAGGTTGACATGATGGATGTATGATGGGAATGACTCACGTAATGGCGGCGAACATGCCTTGGAAGATGGCGAACAGCAGATCGGGAATCTTGGCACTTCCCACAGAGGGTGCAGCTAGAACATCCTTGAAGCCGAAGTTATCGAGGTTACCAATGTAACTGCCGGCCGTGTGGGAGAAGGCTAGCGAATAACCCCAGAAGAACCACTGGAATGAAACCACGCCGACCGACATGATGGAGAGCCATATCAATGAGAGTGCTGACTTTCGACGAGCTAGACCGGAGTAGAAAAATCTATAATCAAGTAATGAGTGAGAGTCCTCAAGCGTTAAAGGGTTTGATCAAGTCATACCCAACTCCAGGAATCATAAGCAACACAAGGGCTGTTGAGAAAATGACAAATCCGATATCACCAGACTATCAACACTGTTAGCTAGAAAGCTCCTCAATCGACTCTTGTCAAAATACACAACATACACTATAATAGATGTTCAAGTCTTCAGCGAACGAGTCACCGCCAGTTGCGATGGTGCCATTATACTCAACCGGGTATTCGGCCATGATGAGAGAGGTAGGCTAGGCCAATGGTATTGCAAGTGTGAGTTGAAATGCAGCTGTAATAGAATGATGCAGGAGATGAAGAGACAGAATTAGAAATGCTTTCAAGCACCGGGCTGTGAAAGGACAGAGAAGTGATATGTCTAGTCTGCAGGGACAAACCCTGATAATTAAATAACTGACACAGTCCCGGACAACCAACAATGCTCCACCATCAGACGGATACCCGACCATCGATCTTAGCTCCGATAGTGGCAGCTGGTCATTCTAATTTCTGATATGATTCATCTGACCCGACCGATAGCAGTCAGCCAAGACCCTCATTTCAGCCATCTCGGGTTCATGGCGCATGGGGTTATGCTCCATAGACCCAGACCGGGGAATTACGGGTCCTTGCATTTACAGGTATATTTAGATATTGTATGTATATATACTCTTAGAACCATGTGTAAGCTGTAACTACTCGTTTCTGTCTCTATATCTGTTTTCCAAGATTCCCTTAACGATCTAAAATGAGGTTGTGTTTCAAGCTCTTTGAATTGGCCCCTGATAAGCAGGGGGGAATGTCTAGCATACCCCGTACATAGTAAATTGATAGACAGATTGGGTCATTTCAGTGACAGAAGAGAATAATAGGAAATAATCGAGATCGAAATTGGACGGCTCAACGACTGGCTGTAGATATGAAGTTCGAAGCAGCCAATCACAGTCATTTGCTTATCATTTTCGGAAGTTTCTTTTTTTTTTGTCGCTTAATTCGTTATTTAATACGTTCAATTTGTACTTGATATCCATAGAAGGTTGTCCGGTACATATACATATTAGTATCCAGAACTACTACTCCGTATATGTGTCAAACATGAAGTTGTTGACATCCATGGATCAAAAGGACGTTGGCTTATCATCGGAATCTCGTGTTGCGCCGACCAATCACAATCCAATTTCCCTTATCTCATATATAACATATAGATTGGACTATGCGAGGGGTTATTTCTTTTAGAACTTTGTCAAACTTCTTTCCACTATTCAAGAATTCCCGACGCTGGAACTTCTGTTGAAGAGACGCCCTAATATCATTGAGGGAACGGATTGCTGTGATATAAAAGTGAACTGTTTCTTTACATAGAAATTTGTATATACATCCCTGTTCAAGACATACTTCTGGCCCTGGCCCTGGCCCTGGCCCTGGCCCTGGCATATTCTTGTCGTTCCTGGATTCCCCATTCTCCGGGTTGTACCCCGTTCCACACGAATATGCAGAACGGATGGGGCGGGAAAACTAAACTCTTCGCCACGCAGTCTAGAGGTTCCACGGAGTAATGTCAAGTCAAGATAAGCACCCAGCCTTCCATTGGTGGGAAATATCAGAGGCTGATTCGGCATCCCGACTTGGATCTTGGTGAATTCTCGGCCCCATAACTCAAGAACTCTATGGAGCATACATACAGACCCGCTCGAAATCAGTTTCATCACTTGATTCTCAAGGGCTTGAATTGCATTGGACATGTAAAAGAAAGTCACATGATTGGTGGTTCTGTAATCTTCTGGAAATCAAAATACGATTGATACTCTAATCCCAAGGCTCTCATATTGAGAGTGACCCTTTTGACTAGATTAAATTTATATGCCATGGGCTATGATACCTAAGTACCAATATATAGTTATAGCTACTTATATCTCAAGCAAATAGAAAAAGGAACGGGAGGTCCAAGTTCAAGACGATTTTGTGTCTCAGATCTATTTGTATAGCATAGAGCGCCTGTCGATCAGGTAAAGATACGATGGACGTGAAACGAGACAGACCAAATCAGTAGATCATAGTAATACGTAAACCGATTCTTAAGAAAGGGACGGAGATAGATGTTTGCGAGTGGTCCTTCATCTCAGCCTGCATGGCGAGGGTTCGATGCCCTATCGGTAGGGACCAGGCATCTGATCTATCATGGACCCATAACACCTCCGCACAGGAGCCCTATACTTCTGACTATGGCTAGAAATCTGGAGCGTAGAACATGACAAGCATAACAGTACAAGTGCTCCTTAATTTTGACCGAGGTCAGAAAATCCCTGACACAAGGGACCGGAGGCATTTCGATACTAGATCAACTGCCTCTATCGACTCCCTGTATCACCCTGGCCGCCTCGCCATGACATCTGCCGAGTCGATTCTCCCCCCTCCAGTTAGCCTCGTTCTCAATCGCCTTCGAATCCCACCTCAGCCCAACCCCCCATATACGGTCCCGGGGACTGCCCTCTACGAATGTCCTCTCCTGAGCAGCCAGATACACATCCCTTAACGCCTGATCTACCTGCGCCCTCGCAACACACCCTGCCATCATGATCGGAATAGAAGCCTGGTTCCACACATCCGGCCGGAACCCGCGCACTTTTCTGCCTAATGCCTTTTGCGACCTAGGAACATTCGTCCGGAGGATACATGGGAGGTGCGAATGCCAGACATATTTTTTCTCTGACCCTGCAGTTTCACCCGGTTATCTTCCAGAGAATGAAGAGGAAGGTGCAGGTACAGATGGGGAAAGGACATCCCTCTGGAACCGTTGGAACTCTTGGTCAGACGCCTTCCCCACCCTTTGGAACAGCTTCAGCCCGCTTTCTTCCGTCTCACATTCGAATAACCACGCCTTCATGGCCATCATCCATTGCTCTCCGCGTCCGAAGCCGAACTCATGGATCAAGAGTGTGGAATAGCATTCTGGTGATGGGTGTGCGATGCCTAGTTCGTCGAGGAGGGGGAGACAGATCTCTAGTCCTCTTTTACCATGGAATGGCGATAGGCTGGGATGCCAGTTAGAGAGGATGCCGCCGTGGAAAAAGATGTGGGTTGGTGTTATGCGGAGGGAGGGGTGTTCTAGAACCGAGGATGTAGTGGGGGCGTTAGCGCTGGAGGTTAGGTGTTTGGGGCTTCGTTTACGCTTGCGCGTTTGCTGCGCTGAGGGAGGCATGTTGAATATGTGCTAAGTGATGACGACGGCGCGGCTTTCTGAGAATTCTTAAATTGTATCTTGTGGATGAGGCATAAAAATGAGATTATCTTCCCGCTCGGTGTTTGCCTCGTATTCATTCATGATGACTCACTGGCAGCTTTCTATCGAACAAAGTATAGTACGGTGACAGAAGAAGTTAGTTCACTCCCTTATACTAAGGAAGTACGTAAACAAATGGCGCGGCGAGAACATGTGAGGCTTGCGACGTTTGCAAGTGAATCTCCTACTAACTGTAAAGTTCTAATAGCCAATACAAAATAATACAATGGCTGCTTTTTATGTCTTTATTTATTACCGTACGATAATACTCCATGAATACGTGTCAGGGGTAGTGTAGCCATAATAGGTATAGCATAGGGCAAAATAGAGTTCGAGAATCGAAAAGAACAAAGTGGTGAAACTGATTTCGAGCGGATCTATGGATCTATGAATACATATATGCAGAATTCTTGCGCTATTGGTTTTCTTGCTTTAGTTTTTTCAATAGCAACATCAGAGACTTGATCGTCATATACATTGAAGAGTAGTCCGTAAATCAGGACGTTAAAGATGCATGTTGTACGCTGTATGCTTTACATTGAGTGACTTCCCTCTGGAATAATTTAGGAAAGTGGACGTGTAGCGTCTTCAATTCTTCTTGGATTACTAGTTTATGCAGATTTCCATAGAGCCTCAGCAAAGTGTCAATGATCTTCAATTATTCTCGAACCCACTGATCCACTGATCGACGATCTGAATCTACACTGCGCCTACAACATACATCGATGTACTCCGTACGGAATATGCGTTCCGTATCTAAGCACAATTCTGCTCTATTCAGGGTAAAATCTTTTGGTTCAAAAATAAGTGTACTGTCTCTTCAAGCCTTCGAAGTACTAACATGCTCCATCATGCCACATGCTCTTTTCTCTATTTCCATACACATACATCGGGTTTTAGGCCGCATGACAGGGGTTTTTTTCTGTTTTAGTGTTCAACCCCTAGTTGCTTTTTGATCACTGAGTACGACGCTATATAGACGTCATGCGACACACCTTTTCCCGGTAAATACTAATGCCTTAATACAGGCTAGTCTGAATTAATTAAGACCGGCCGAGGAATTAAATCCCTGAATTGCTCCAGATTACAGCCACATTGTTAATAATCAAGGTACCTAAACAGGTAGTTAGTTCTATCTAAGGGCTCGTGCGGAATATTGTAGGAACAAGATACTTGGTTCTTCTTGTTCCTGGGAACGTATCAACCTCACACGTACTACCACTGGTGCCCTCAAGCATATCATCGAGAGCCACTCATGGTTGATTTTGTCAGTTCCCTTCTCGCCAGATGGTCAGCTGCTAGCATCCAGCTCTAAGGATAAAACCATGGAACTCTGTGATCCTACAACTTGGGACCTTAAGCATACCATAATCACTGATGATGCTGTTACTGGGATTGAATTTCCCCCAAAAGTGTCGCATCTTGTTATCAATCTAGGATGTTTTAATATTCGAGCCTGATATGAGACCTTCACGCAGAATTCCTCCGAAACAAGGCTTAGGCTATCTTTGCAACCAGATCGGTGGGTTGCCATTGAGGGTCAAAATGAGTTATGGCTAGACCTCTCAATATCCCACAAAGCCCATAGCCCAACCCAACCCAACCCACCACATGGGCTGGGCTTTAGGCCCTACCTTCGGGCCCATTGGTGGGTCGTGGGCCCATAATGAAAGCCCGCAAAGCCCATTCGGACCCAGAATGGGCCCCAAACAATATAAACATGCCAATTTATCGTAGCTGTATAATTAATGCATTTCTCTCTGGGGTTTTTTTTTTGGGTATTCAAACTACCATCTGAGCAATACATAAAGCTATACAGAAACCTTCTTCTTATGAGCTTATAAATTAACTCATAAAATGTAAAGTTGATTTTTATAAAGCTTTATTTTTTATAAGGGGTACTTACTTTTATTAGAGAATTACATAGTAAGTAGAGGTAGCATTAGTGCTAACTAGTTACTATAATTAACACCTAGTTATAGACCCAATATATATATCTCTTCATACTAATACTCAGTAATCCTCCTAAGTGCGAATTCGTGGTCAAGTTAAATCTTTTTAGGGTGATTTTGTATGAAATTTTGCTTGAAATCTAGTATCATAATGCTTAAATCAGTATAATGTCTACTGAATTCCTACTTCCTACTATAATAATATGATGAAATTGAATATATAGGTTGGTATATGAGTAAAATACAGCCATTAATCAGCTACTTTATACGTGCCAAGACTATATTTGTGCACAGAAATGGGTTTTTGATGGGCTTTGATGGGCTGTGGGTTGGGCTGTGGGCCGGGGGCTTGGGCCCATTTGCGGGCTATTGAGAGGTCTAGTTAGTTATGGCTCCCTCCTAATTATGAACCTTTCTCTTCAGCTGTGAGAGATGGAGCTATAAAAATTGGGGTGTAGATGGCAGAGTTTGTATGATTGCATTTTCTATCTAGCAAAGTTGTACTTCACCTTGTTCACCACCAATATGATTTTACCGCAAAATCGCCAAGATTACATACTTTCTCACTACAACCATAATAAGTTTGTTATCTGATATCACTTCTCTCCTAAGGATAGATCGAAACATATTATACGGAGGTTTGAATAATCTGATTCAGATGTCGCTACGAATATTACTGCTGGGATTTGCAAGGGTCATAACCTCCGCGGCTAGCCTTTTTTCGTTCAATGACAAAGCCACTACCAGCACTGTTTCCATCAAAACCTTGATAGATTATACTCCTTATACCCAGCTCTTTTATTTTGCTTACTTCTTCTGTTACTTCATTCATGGGAGATCAGAGTGGGAGTACCGAGAACAGAGCGAAAAAAAGAGAAAAAAAAAGCAAATCTCAGTAGAAGTTTTTATAAGGATGGATCATGTTGCTAGATCACATTAATATTGTGTGCAATAGAGCAGCTGACCCAAGCTGGACGCGTGTATCAGGACTTGGACTTGATATAGACTGGGATCAAGATTGATGTAGTGGCTGAAAATCAAACAGGAAAGATTCCCAGTAGATCAAACAGTGTATAAGTGGGGATGGGCCATCCGGTCAGCCACATCGCACCGCCACCGTATCCGCCTCCCTATCATCTTGGTCCAACACCCAGACCTGCTCCCCCGGACCATCGCACGGTATAACCACTATGCAGCATCCGGAAATCCCCAGTCCTGATTCAGATGGCTCGGGCTCTTCTGATGAATTCCCTCAGTACCCTGTGAGGACCAACTCATCATTTGGAGAGACCATTGACGATCAAACCCAAACACCTGCAAGCACCATCACATCTTCTCCTCCGACCATTCCACCTAATCTTACCTCATGGTCTAACGCGCCGCCGACACGTCCGCGTGGAGTTAGCCTCAGCGCTACCGCTCTCCTTGACAAGCCCGATGGGCTTGTTATGCCCAATGATTTGCGACCTCAGCGCCCATCCGCCCCAGCACGAACACCGTCAAATACATATGCTCCACAGCGGCGCCCACCACAATACATCAGTCTTCAGGAAGACCGCCAGCGATCATCATCAACCAAGCGAGGAGCCCGCCGCGATCCGAATGCGCAATACCGTGCCCAAGAAAAAGCCTACGTCCAACGGATTCGAGCGAACCCACAAGCCTGGTATCACCACGCCAAAGATGCGCAGTCGAGCGTCACGATAGAAGGGGATGGGGACTTAGAGGAGCCATCTCCTTCCTCTGAAGTGGCGTTTGAGGATGATTCTTACGACCCTGACACCCAACTTTTCCTCCCGGACGACAATCTACCAAGTACAGAAGAACTCAAGCATCCCAAGAACCAAGAGCGGCTTGAATGGCATTCTATGTTGGCGTCGGTATTGAAGGGAGATGTAGTGAAACAAGAAAAACAGCGACTCATCGGATCTGCGGAATCAAAGCGGTCGGCAGCCCAGAGCTATGCACTCTGGATCGGAGTTCGGGCAAGGACGTGCGGCCGAAGTATTCCTCTGCAGCGAAAGTTAATTGAGGATGCGCGGTCACGCCTGGGTCCCCTAATTGAGGATATCATCGCATTCCAGATTAAAGGCGAGACTGAGATCGGGAAACCGGCAAGGCAGCAAGTCGAGGATGTCGTGGAGAAGGTCGAGCGATGCGAAATTCTTTACTCTTCCCATAAGGAAATGGAACTCGCAAACCCCCGTGTTGCCTCAGAGGAATTTACCTCTAGCCGCGCAGCCATATTTGCGTGGCACAACATCACGGCCCTCATCAACACCGAGCTTGCTGTGCTGCAGAGTTGGGTCGGAAACGAGGCTCTTGATTTCAACCAACCGAGGATTAAGTCTGCTAAGGATGATCTTTCGGATGGGTCATCCTTCCTTGATCGCATTATGAAGGAAGATGGCTTGAAGACGCTCCAGGACAAGGACGGCATGCTTCTTCGCATTCTCGTCGTCATTCAGAAAGCGAAGAGTACTCTGATCGAGAACTCGGAGGCGTTTGCCGCGCGGCACTTGCCACCATATATCGAAGAACTACTAACACTGATTAACTTCCCCTCTCGGTTGATCCAGGAAATCATTCGAGTTCGTCTATCCTATGCCAAAAACATGAAAGACCCAGCCCAACAAGCCCCCATTTTGATTGATCAGATGATTTCCCAATTCCAAATCCTTATGAAAGTGGCCGTCGATATTAAGTTCCGCTACCTTGATGTGTCGAGGCCAGAACCAGGCTGGGATTTACCACCATGTGTCGACGAGAACTTTGACAATTCCGTCTTGGATGCTATGAAATACTATTTCCGGCTCCTCAACTGGAAACTGAATGCCAACAAGAACACTTTCAAGGAAGCCGAAATTCTGGAACAGGAATGGGGATTCTCCTATGATATCGGTTGCCGGCTTAACGGTGGAGATATTGAGGTGGCCGAACAATTTAGGTAAGACTGCCGTTCTTTGC